AATACTAGGACAAAAAAAGATTTTCTGATTCTGACCCCACCCCCTGTGAAGCTGGAGAGAAAGTGGGAAACTAGGAACAGATAAAGGAAAGTCCTCACAATGAGCAGTGAATTATGGAACTTCTTTTTAAAAAATCAGGCTGATTTCAGCGATGTCAAACATGAAGCCTTTGGTGGCAGCATTCCTGAGTGCAACCTGAACCAGATTAAAATATAATTGGGAAATATTTAATAAAACAAGTAAAAATATGATAAAAACAGATAATGTTACATTTTAAAATTGTCAATATGTGACCCATAGGAATTCTTATGTGTGGATTAGTGGCTCCCATTTCTATTTGAGTTCAACACCATTGATCTAGGGAACTCCCTGTGGAAGAACTCCTACTAATGGAGATCTCCACCTACTCTGTAACTTGAAGGCTTTCAGTAGGGGTCTTTAGCCCTTTTCTCATCATGGACTTCTCTGGTAGTCTGGAAAAGCCAATAGCCCTTCTCTCAGAATTATGTTTTTAAGTAATTGAAGGAAATGCTAAATTTCAGTTAGAGGTTAGTGAAAATAAATATATGTATATGTATATGTACATGGATATGGATATGGATATGTATGTGTATGTGTGTGTGTGTGTGTGTGTATCAGGGGCAGCTAAGTGGCATGGTGGATAGAGTGCCAGACCTAGAGTCTGAGGAAGACTCATTTTCCTGAGTTAAAATCTGGCCTCAGACACTTATTAGCTGTGTGACCCTGGGCAAGTCATTTAACCCTGTTTGTCTCAGTTTCCTCATCTGTTAAATGAGCTGGAGAAGTAAATGGCAAACCACCCCAGTATCTTTGCCAAGAAACCTCCAAATGGAATCCCAAAGAGTTAGACATGACTGTATGTATGTGTGCATACATATATACATACATATATACACACATACACACACATATATTTACCTACCCAAGTTCATGGACCCTCTGAAGTCCATCCACAGACCCTAAGTTAAGAACCCCTCTCCTAGAGGGTTAGTTGCTTATGGAACTCAGAGGTTAAATGACTTGCCCAAGGCCACGCAATCAGTATATAGGAGAAGTGGTATTTGAACTCTGGTCTTCCTGACTATGAGGCTGTTTCTCTCCACCATAACTTCTGCACACAAAAATGTGACAGAAACAAGAAATACATATGGGGCATGAAAAAGTTTGGATACATTTTTGAAGGACAGAGCCATGAAATTGGCATAATGGAAAAAATAAAACCTCAGGAATTAGGACCTTGGACAGAGAATCATAACACTTGGGTTCAAATCTTGGCTCTGTCCTAGATTATATAACTTTGGGAGAGTACCTCGCTGTTCTCAGCTGTAACATAGCACCCCTCCAGGACCTAAGAGTAGAGTCAGAACTCTTGGTTGCAGATTGGATCCCTTATCAGGTGACTGGCTACTGCTTCCAGGTTCAAAAGTATTCTGTGGTACTGTACTATTAAAACTATAGCTTACAGTCCCATATATTTACCTTTAATAGTTATCCAGTAGATACAATTAGCTCAAATAATAATGGTACACTCTGGGCAAGTCACTTAACCCCCAATTGCCTTGCCAAAAAAAAAAGAAGAAAAATGGTACACTCGAAGACAGTAGCTGTAAAACATCTGCATATACTTTGGGTGCAATCTCCCACAAATACAATAAGAAGAGAGCGCATATATGAAGTCCATGGCCCTGATGTCCTTTCTCTTCCCATGATATTGTTATGCTTCTCCTCCAGCTGCAGTAACTATTGGGTGCAATTGTGCATCTAGGCTTCCTGGGTCTACTCCTCTCTCAGGCTCAACTCCCAAATGCCAGGGCTAATTCAATCCATAGCTGGCTCTTTTCTGTTGCCAGGGGTTGCTCTCTTTAGATCTGCCTCCAAAGACCCGGCTGTCTCTACTGGGCATGCTGTCTCTCATTTGGACGGTCAATCTGATAGAAAATGCAATGGTGGAAAAGGAGAGATCCCACCCTCCCTGGAAGAGATGCTAGGAGAAAAACAATCTCCCCTCCAGAGCTGGGCTTTTCCTCCACTGCTGTTCTTATTTACACTGCCTAAGGTCACCTACTCCTTGAAACTGCTTCCGGCTTCAACTATCTCCAAGTTGGCAAGCTAGCTTTTAAAAAGATTCCCAGGGCATAGCTAATCTTTGGCCAGTAAGCTGTTCTGCAGTCATGGAGGAGAAAACTTCTTCACAGTTCACGGAGGGAAACAATATAGCTTAAGCCCTGCCGTTCCCTTAAGATATGAACATAACTGTGTTGCGTTGTGTCAGTGACAGGCTCCTGGGGTGATTCTATGGCAGGAGGGACAGGGGGAGGGGAATTATTCACCAAGCCTCCTGCTCAACTCAACTATCCACTTTAGTAAAATGGATTAGATTGTTTTAGAAGCCCTTTACAACTCTGACTCAGTATGAAAACAACTACTGAAAGAATTTGGGATAAACCAGACTTTTCAGACTGATTCTGGAAGAATGATTGGCCATTTTTCTTGGAGTTTTCCTTTGGGGTTGCTACTTGATGAAGGTTCTGCAGGTTTAGCCCACAGTTTTGCAAATGAGTAACTCTTTGTTCCCTGCCTTCTTTATCACTATGAATATTAATTTCCTGATATATATTTTTGGAGAATGAGAAGGCACTGCCCTTCCCTAGTTTTCCTCGTTCTCTCTACAGACCAGGAAGCCATTTGGCTCTTGGTCTGGGGCTACACTGGGTGCTATGCTAAGGACAGGTGATAAAGGTAAAGTGAGATGGGAGTCATTATGAGTGTATTTTATAAATCCATTCATTTTCTCCTGACTTCCCTTGGTGAAGGTGATGCGGTTTGGGGTTGCTTGGAACCCCAAAATATCAGGGTACAGGTGGTGTTGTCCTGGAATGAATTCATCTACTCAAACCTTCCAGTCTAGCGACATGCTTTATTGTATCGCCTATAGAATGGGCAGTGTTCTTAGTGAACCTGCGGCTTAATGGGGGTGAGACTGATGCTTATATACAAAAGGGACAATGAAAGGATCTGCATGGGATTAATGAGTGGTAAATAGACTGTGGTGGGTCAGGGGGCAACAGTGAAAGTAATATCTTGTAGGCTAATTAGGTGATATTAATGGGATTAAGGAGTGGTCTATATGCAAGTAGTCAGGGGTGGGCCAGTTGCTCAGGGTGGAGGCATCAGTGATCTGGGCTGCTGATACGCATGGGAAAACTCTGGGCCTGGGCTGCTTTCAAAGATGTGGTCTTTTCCTTTTAGGGGTCCAGGTCCCATCACCCCATCAAAGGGGATGATAAATCTTGCACTGCCTGCAACATAGGGTTGTTGAGGGGAATTAAATGAAATACTGGGAAGTGCTGCTATATGAATATCAGCTTTTACTCTTATTATTGGCCTTGCCTGAGCTGGGGGAGCTTACTTCCAGAACAATCGTCATTTGTGTAGTGGGAACAACCCTAGACTTGGAGTCAGGGGCCCTTGGTTCCAATTCCAGATTGATCTCTAGTCAGCTATGTTAATGGGGTTGGGATCTGGGCTAGAAAGGAAAAACCCTGGACTTTCCCACTTGACCAAATCTCTGGCATTCCCCTGAGGCTAGAATCCCATCAACTGGCCTTTCATTGTGGCTATGCCCAATCTCCCAATTCTGTTACACTTAACCTAACCTAGCCCTCCATTGTCTTATCTCCCTATGGCCCCTGGCCACTTCCCACCCTTAATCCTAGCTGGACTCCATTCTCCCTTGGCCTGGTGGTCCAGGTCCCTGGCATTCTATTATCTCACAGTCCCGGAAGACTACTTGGCCACTCCTAGATCTCTCCCACAGTCTTTCTGTATATAAGGTCCATCTTGTCTCCATTAAGGTGCTCAGATTTCTAAAATCTAGTCACTGCTCAGATTCCTTAAGAGTCTGCCCAATATGACGAATGTCCTAATAAACGTTGTCTTTGGTTAAAAGAAGGCTTGGGTTGAATTCTTTTGAGCAGGACCCGAATGTTGTGATTTTGGGGTCCCAGCACCCCTAAACCCTTAAGTCTCAACAATGTTATCATGGGCAAATAAATCACTCAACCTCCTGAGCTCTGTTTTTCCATCTCTGAAATAAGAACAATACATCTGTCATATCTCAAAGGAAAGTTAGCATCCAACCAGGTCATATATACTCATGGGCTAGAACACTGGACTGGCAAACATTATTAATTTTTACATGGCTTTATACTTTCTAAAATCTTTTCATACAATTATCTTATTTGATCCTCTCAGCAGCTCTTTGAAGGAGTTAAAGGAGAGAGTTATTATCCCCATTTAATAGATGAATAACCTGAGGCTAAGAGAGAGGAAGACTGCCCAAGGTCACAGAGGAAAGTTACTGCAGAGCTGAGATAGGAACCAAGGTTTTCTGCTTTTTCTCCCCCGTTTCTCTTTTGTGGTTTATGCTCTCGATGCAAGCCAACTCTGGACTTCTAGACAAGCATCCCGTCGCCAGCTCTAGGCCAACATGGCCTAGATGGGGGAATCCCTTATTTCTGCATAAGATTGCCTACATCTCAATCTCTCCGGCTCTATCACAGCCCCTTTAAGAGGAGCCCCACCTCTTCCCCAACTAGCTTGTCAATCAACACCCTGTAGCTAATAGAAAATGAGAGCAGCAACGCTTCCCGCCTCTTAACCTTGGGGGCGGAAACCTTACAACTCAACCACACTACGGAGTGCGGGTAGTGGGCGGGTGGAAGGAAGGCGGGGATCGAGATGCCGGTTAATCTCCTCCTCCTCTTCATTGGCTCACGACTGGAGAAATCGCTACTCTCATTGGTCTCAGTCGATGTCCATTAAGGCTGCAGGTCCCGCCCCGCCGGCAGGGTATCAGGGTTCGGCTGCGCGGCGGGGGAAGGAGACGCTGCCCTTCCGAAGCGATGGAGCTCCCGGTAAGGGCTGGGGGAGCTCGTCTCTGAGGCTCCCGAGCACCCCCCGCAGCCACTCTTATTCTGAGCCGTGGTAGCGGCCGCACTCTGCAGGGCTGGCCGGGCAGGATGCAACCACCGAGCTGCCGCGGGCATGGGTCCGGGTGAGAGGGGACGAAGGATCCCGAGCCTGTCAGGAGGTTGGGGGGACCCGGGGCCTGGGAGCAGAGATCAGGGCCGGGATGGGGCTGGGGGAGAGCGCCTTGCCTGCCCTGCTACCGGGGGGCAGGCGGGGGACGGTTCAAGGTGGGGGGCTAGGCCCCGGGGGTGGGGCTAGGCCCGGGGTGTGGGGCTCCAGGAGGTGGGGAAACTTGCAGGAGGGGAGGAGTGAGAAGGGCTGGGGGAGATCTCTGCTTGGGGGGTCCAGGGGGAACGACTCAAGGTGGGGAGGCTTGCATGGGGGGGATGCGGGGGAGAGCCCTGCTCTGCGGGGGTCGGGGAACGATAGCTTAAGGCGGGGGTCTAGGGGCTCAGGGAGAGGTACACTGGAGGTGGGGGGGCTTGCTGGGGTGTCATGGGGGGCTGGGGCAGAAGGCTAACTGGAGGTGGTTAAGCATTTGGGAGGGGGTTGGCTCCAGGTGGGGGAGGATTGAGTAGAGGCTCACAGGAGGAAATGAGGAAAGGGGTGCTGGGAAGTAGTAGCTTTTGGGGGTGACTGGGGGAAAGGCAGTTGGGAGGGGCGTGGCCCAAGGTCAAAGTATAAGGAGGAGGGTAGATTTGTAGTAGGGGCGAGGCAGGCGTTCTTCGAGGTAAATGAGGGGATGTGTTTCTTAAGTGGAAGAGGGGGGTGATGGGGAGGTTACAGGAAGAGTTCTTTGAAGAAGGATGAAGGTTGAAGTGGGGGGGATTAAGTGTAATGGGGCTGGAGGAGGTATGGGGTAAGGGATCTGGGGGAGAGCTATCTGAGATGGAATGGCCTTGAGCAATGGTACGTGGGCTAAGAGTATATTAGGTGCCCTGGAATGGGGGTGGGGCACAAGTAACCTGAGTAAAAAAGTAACCTGGGAAGGGATTGGCATTGTGAAGAATGACACCCAGATGGGGAGGCTGTCATGGCAAAGGAAGTACTCAAGTCATAGATGACTGAGAAAAAAGGTACCTGGCCTGGGATAGTTACTACAGACCTCTCTGCTAAGACATCCTGCATCAGGATTTGGGATCTGGTGGGCCCATCCCCCAACTATTGGTTGTGCTAGCTATGAATTTAGTCATTGGAGAGCAATGTACAGCCCTCTAGATGCTAGTCTTGGGGTACAGTACTTGTGCCTCTAGACACTGGCTTTGATATGGGATATTCTGAGAGAATCCTCTGAGAGTGAATGAATGGTGTAGTGGAAAGGGCTTTGGATTTGGATTCAGAGGACTTGGTTTCATATGCAGGATCCCCTAATTACTAGTTGTGTGACCCTGGACAAGTCATATTTTAGTTCGGAGCCTCAGTTTCCTCATCTGTGCTATGAAGTGCTTAGGCTTTGAAGTACTTTCTAGCTCCAAATCTTATCAGTAGTGTCCAGCTCCTAAATTTCCTTGTGGTAGGTGATAAGGTAGCCATCTCTTTCCCCAGTCTCCTAGTATTCACTATCTAATGCCTGAATCCTGATTATGGTCATTCAGGGCGAAAAAGCAGCTGTTCCCCTTTACTTGTCTAGGTTTCCCTTTTACACAGTCTACAGCTTAACACTCTTGTCACCTGACAGATGGTATACCTGTTTTGGCCTTAGATGACCTTCAGGATCCAGTGGTCCTCCAAGAGTTGAGAGCTGTGATGTTTTTTTGTTTGGGGGTGGGAATAGGGGGAGACTGGGCTCTTGAAAGAAGGATCTGGAGCCTCTGTGGGAATTTAATGACCTCTTCTTCTAGAAGGTCCTGACCTGGATCCGTGGATGCTTTTAGTGGCTCTTTTAGTTTAAATTGCCTCAGCAGTCATGGGAATAACAGTTCAGGTCTTAAGTACCTTGTTTTTATAATTATATAATCAGATAAGGAAGGGCCTTCTAGAGGTTATCCATCTCTGTCCATGACCTCTATTGGAAGAGCATTAGATTTGTAGTCTGGTTCAAATCCGTGATAGTACCTTCTAAACATTTGACCTTGACAAATCACTTAACCTTTCTGGGTCTCAGTTTTCTCATATGTAAAATGAGGGGATTGAATTCGATTTCTAGATTTAAAGTTATTTTCCAGATAATTCAGGTAAAATATTTGCTTTTCTCTGAGCTATTTCCATACATTGTTTATACAGGAGCCAGACACATTCAGTTGTCTGGCATCTTTAACTTTGAGAGCCAGTGTTGAATAGTGGAAAGAATAATAACTTGAAATTTTACAAGGTGTCATGGGGGTAGATCTAGAGTTGGAAGAGACCTAAGAAGACATCTAGTCTAATCTTTTCATTTTATAGATAAAGAAACTGAGGTTCAAGAATTTTTAACTTGCCCGAGGTAATATAAATAGTAGGCTTCAGAGGTAAAATTTGAACTCAAGTCTTTTGATTCCAGAGCCCATGCTCTTTCCATTGCACCACCCTGCATCCTACATTATATATGTTTTCTCCCTTGGAATTGCCTGCAAGGTGGGTATTTACAAGTATTTTTATCCCCATTTTACAGATGTGGAGACTGAAACTCAGGTTAAATGACTTGCCCATGGTCACTCAGCTAGTAAATATCAGAGATGGCATCTGAATCCCAGGGTTCTTGACACCAAGCTCAATACTGATCCATTACACTATGTGATTCTACTCCTTGTCTCAGCCCTTTGGTAGAGTGGTAGACTTCAAGTAAAGAGAGACCCTAGCTTGGACCTTGACCCTGACCGTGCCTAGCTGTGTGGCTCTGGCTGGGCAAGTCACTAAGCCTCTTGGGGCCTCCTCATCTGAATAATAACATCAACTTGTTCTTTGTGGAGAAAGTTCTTTTGTAGACCTCAAGTGTTGTATAAGTGGGAATTATCGAGGTTATAGTTGGGCTGGTTCCTAAAATAGTCATGTGATAAAATGCCGGCAATTTTTTAGTGCTTATAGCACAGTGCCTTGAATGGAATAAGCAATTAATAAATCTTGTTGACTAACTGACAAAATGACTGTGTCATTATTTCCGAGAGCCAAATCGCTAACATTTATCTCCCATTCACGTGTGATAAGTCATTTGTCCTTGATGAGTAACATTTGATCACCAGCCTGAACACATAGGACCCTAACCTGGTGTTTATTATGCCTGCTCTGCTTCAGAGTAAGGTTGTTCCCTGTGATCTAAGGTCTCTGTACACATTTAAGAAGTCCAGGGTGGGGGGGTGTGTGTGATAGAAGTAGCTTTCTAAGAGGTAGTATAAGATCTCTGTGGATCCAGACTTGGTATATTGAAAGTCTGAACTTAAACAAGCACCATGGTATAACTTGCAGGTCCGTGTCTCAGGAGGCCCTGCAATCTTATAGGAGTCCTTACCATGCAGTTGGCTTTTAGGTTTGCAGATCACAGTTCTCCCTGGTCTGGTCTCATCTGGCTTTAGGGCCTTCTTCCCAGGAGCCTTCTCTATCTAGGACAAACACTCTTTTCTCCCATGAAGCACAGTTCAGGGATTTAAGAATGTTCCCTTTGCCATAGCCCCATAGTCCTTCCAGCCTAGTGTTTTGTCTCAGATGGGTGTATCAAAGAATGCTTCCCTTGCTTGGGGCTAGGGAGATTCTGAGAACTTTTTGGAAATCAGGGAATATGTCTAGAGGAGTTGCTTCCTTAGCTTTCTCCCTGGCACAGAGTACTGTACATGCAGCCCTTGTGCTAGTGGTGATAGTGCCCAGGCTGTTTGGTGTTTGATCCCAAGAGAGAAAATTCTTTGTTTGTTAATAGAACTTCAGGTGACTTATCCTGACTCTAGAATAGTTAGGATTTCCCCAGTTTTCACTGACTCTTACATTGTCCTTGTAGCTCTGCAAAGGCACATTGGCACTGGAATCTCCCTTTAGTAATGAGAATGTGACTGTGGCCCTGTGGGCAGTGAGTTGAAGCATTCCTTCAAGCCATTCCCATTGTGGGACTTGGGGTTCCCACTCTGGGGCACTCTCAGCTGCAGCTCTAACCCGGGATGGCTTTCCGAAGAACTGAAGGCATGTCCGTGATCCAAGCTTTGGCCATGACAGTGGCAGAGATACCCGTGTTTCTCTACACGACCTTTGGACAGGTAAGAAACAAAGTTTCTGATGTTTCTTTTTTCCACTATGTTTAGCTCCCAATACTCCATGAGCAGCAGGCAGAGAGGACCAGAGCCATCTTCTTTCCTCCTAAGTATGTCTTAGCATGGAGGTAGCAAATAGGATTATAAAGAACTGGAAGGAAAGAAAAAAAAGAACTGGAAGGGAAGGGACCTTAGAAGCCATCAAGTCCAACCCTCTTATTTTACAGATGAGGAAAACTGAGGCATGGAGTGGTTAAGTTATTTGCCCAAGGCCACACAGGTAGTAAGTATCTGAGGCAGGATTCGTACTTAGGTTTTTCTGACCCTAGCTACTAACCTCTGATAACTCCTGCCTAGCAAAGCTTCTGTGGCAATGGAAAGAACAGTGGATTAAGATTTGAGAGTGTTGGATAGTTTTTAGCTCTGCTACTTAGTACGTGTGTGATTTAGAAAAGGTCACTTTAAGCCTCCGTTTTTTCATCAGTTAAACGGGGATAATATTTGCCCTGCTAACTCCATTACACTATAGTGAGGATCAAGTGAATTGTGAAAGCACTTTGAAAAGAGTGAAATGCTAATCAAAATTTGAAATGTTGGCATTTTTGATATTAGTTAATGAAGATGGAAGAATTCTAGCCCAACCCTATGATTGAGATCCTGTCTAGTACCATTTGACTTCCTGAATTCCTCTTCTTGCTAATTAATTAGCATTTATAAGAATCTTAAAACATAATTTTAAAATTGAACGATATTTACTTCTAGGGAGATCGTTGAGTTCCTTTCTAGAAGTAGATGCCACTCAATAGTGGGATTAGGGGTGGGGAGAGTAGTTCCTCTGATAGCTCAGATCCCTGTCTGGGAAGCTGTAGTCCCGGTGGGAGTTTTTCATTGAACTCTTTCTTCCCTACTTCTGGGGGCAGTCGGCATTTTCTCAGCTACGACTATCTCCGAGCCTGCGGAAGGTGCTCTTTGCTACAGCGCTAGGGACAGTGGCCTTGGCTTTGGCTGCCCACCAACTGAAGCGGCGTCGGCGACGGAAGAGACAGATTGCCCCTGAGAAAGGAGGCGGGAAGCCTGGAACTGTTCCTATCCCAGTCTTTATGGCCAGAAGGGTTCCATCAGTGAAGAAAGGTAGGTTTTGGGTACCGGAAGCCAAGGTACCCCGGCACCCCAAGAAAGGTTGTGGTCTGTGTGGGAAATGGGTTGAAGTAGAGACTGAAAAAAATAACCGTGGCTGGGTTTCCAGATATCTGGGCTGCCTGGAGATAGAAAAGGATTTGTTCTGTAAAACTTGGACTTTTATCCTTTTATTAAGGGGATTTGTTCTGGGAAGGGCCACACCCAAGGACCTGGAGGGCCACAGGTGGCCTCAGGGCCACAGGTTCCCCCACCCCGAGAGCATATAGTATCACATGGAAGGAAGTCCTAGAAGACTAGAAAGGTAAATTGTGGGGGCTCAGATGTCAAGCACGTGCATTTAGACTTAGGAGGCAGCAGAGGAGTCACTGAAGAGTTTTGAGTAGAGAAGTATTGTGGCCAGCCCGGTACATCAAGAAAGATTAACTGGACGGACATAAAAAGATTGAAAGGGTAGTGGGGCTGGGGGAGGAAGAAAGGAAGAATAGGGAGACTTTCGATTTCTGGCATCAACTTTCCCTGCCGTTTTCTATTACACAGGCTATTCCAGCCGAAGGGTCCAGAGTCCCAGCAGCAAAAGCAATGACACCCTGAGTGGCATTTCCTCTATTGAACCCAGCAAGCACTCAGGCTCCTCTCACAGCCTGGCCTCGGTGAGGACTCCTCTTGAATATTCTAGCTCTGTCTCAGGAGTACGTGGGCATTTTAGATCAGGAAACTGGGTGATTTAGTGGTGCAGTCCAAGGGTACCACCTTGGCTTTGGACTGAGTCAGGCTGACCAGAGATGGTGGCTGAACAGCATTGATCTCTTTGGCCTTTTAATTAAAACAAGCATATATGTTCAGAGCCACGTTAGTCACTGAAAAATAAAAGAACAGGAGAAGTTCCTTATAGTTTACAATCTAGATGGGGAAATAGAGACAAGTCAGATGTTAAACTAGGTTCTGTCAGTGTAGTTCAAACTTTGGAATTACAAAGAACAGGGTGGATTGTGATTGCCAGGGAAGGTAGTAGAGGTGAGACTTAAGCTGGACTTCCAAGGAGGAGAGAGGAGACAAAAGCTGTTTGAAGGAAAAAGCATAAGCGAAGACACAGACAAGAGTGAAAGACCAGTGTTACTGTGGCAGAGTCCATGGATAGGTAGTGACCACATTGTACCACATTGTGGAGGACCTTGAATGCCAGAATGAAGAATTTACCAGCACCTCATAGAGTATCCAGCTTAGCTCTTTTTACTTCTCTAACACCATTTGGGAAGCGGGTGATAAGAAGTTGGGTTCTGGTGATCTGGGTTGTGTTGAAGATGGGCCATGTGTTAACTGTGCATGTGTTGGATGGTACTTGTCTGGAAGCTTTTAAAAATGTGCAGACCTTTGTTTTCTAACAGTTGAGAGTATCATAAAACAAAACCCTGCTGTGCTCTGGGTCCAAGTATTTGCTGGGTGCAGTAAAAGTGAATCTATTCTGGTTGTGGAAGTCATGGATCTGGGTCAGATCCTTATCTTAAAAGGCCTAGAAGGTTTTAGGCCTTTAGACAGAGTGTTCTACTTTTGGATTTTCTTCCCTTTCTTGGAGACTAGATGGTGGCAGTGAACTCCTCTAGCCCAACAGCTGCATCTTCGGGGCCCTGGGATGCTAGAGTAACTGAAGAGTCAGGGGCTGCTGGTGATGCAAATGCAGAGAACCTCTACATTCAAGGTACGGAATAAGCTTTTCCTCTCGGTCTTCTCTCCCTCTCCTCCCCCTACAAGTTGACTTGAGGGCCTATCATGTCCTTCTGGGTGGTAGCTTCTCTTCCTCCCTTGGATTTGATGATCTCCCTGATGGTACTTATCTTTGACTGGAGCCCTTCCCGTTCTTTTTTGGGAAGGAGAAGTGAGGTCATTCTCCAAACCAGTAGAACAGCAAAATATCTGATCCATGTGAGAGAATCCATGACCTTGGCCTCATCTTCCCCCTGATGGTGCAAATGCTCCTCGCTTTTTTTGTTGTTAGGCTCATTCAGTACCTTATAATACAGACCTGGAGTTCACTTCTCTGTACCCATACCTTTCATTCTATATTTTCTTTTTTTATTTTTTTAAGGCAATTGGGGTTAAGTGACTTGCCCAGAGTCACACAGTTAGTAAGTGTCAAGTGTTTGGTCTGAGGCCGGATTTGAACTCAGGTCCTCTTGACTTCAGGGCTGGGGCTTTATCCACTGCGCCACCTAGCTGCCCCCCCTTCTATATTTCCTCCCAATGTCAGGATAAAAGGGAATAAGGCATCAATGGATATGGAGTTAGAAATAGATTTTTAAGATTAGGTTCCACCTAAAAATGACATTTCCAGGAACATATTAGATGCAAAGCCAGGAACTACCTATAACATTGTCTTTTGGAAACATTCATCTGGATTTATTGTTCCTAAGAATCAGTGGGGGTTAGCTTGTTGGTGACCAGAAGAGGAGATCCTCACCTTGACCCCCAGTGGAGTTGTTGAAGTGGGTAGTGTTCCTGGGTCCAGTTGGTCTGTGGGTGGAGGGTAAACCAACTCCTTCCTCTGCTTGTTACCACAGGAATGGAGCTGTTTGAGGAAGCATTGCAGAAATGGGAGCAGGCCTTGAGTATTGGACAGAGGGGAGACAGTACTAGCACCCCCACACTCTGGGACAATCTCAAGAGTCCAGAGACCATCTCTGAGGTGCTCTCGGAGGTAGGTACTGTTTTTACCCTCAGAGAGGGGAGATCCTGTGGTGATGATAGGAACAGGAAGAGCTCTTTTACCTCTCAAATATCGAGCAGTAGGCAGAAATGACTATGTTGTCTTTGTGTGTGAGAAGGATACAACTGACTTGGTAGCCAGTGGGTATGTACTTTGTTTTGCTGCTTCTGGACTGCAACTGATTGGTGCTTGTCCATCTGTTCTTTCATTGGGTCTACTTGTGATCAAAGACACATCTGTGAGCAGCTGGTTTGGGGTCAACCTGTGACTATGGAACAGCAAAATATCTGATCCATGTGAGAGAATCCATGACCTTGGCCTCATCAGCATGGTGTTCCAAACCAGGAGTTTTTAAAGCCCCAGAATCTTTCTATTAACCAAGAAATTTGCAGAATTTTCATAAGTTGAAAAGTTTTGCTGTTTATTTTACAATATTACTCTCCATAACACTGGGGAGTAAATGCAACATTATAACATTTGCATTAAATGTGAGATTGTAATTGGGAGACAAGAAAAGATGGTACTAAATTTAGAAATTTCAAATATGAAAAATGTAAAACACCTTAACCTAGCAAACTTCTACAGAGCTCTCTACTACAAATCAGTTTGACATATCTTGCTACAGGCCTGCTCATTGTCTCCCAGTCTGTGGTTTTGTACCCACTGTATCCTTGCCATCTGTTTCCCTTTTCCTAAGCAGTATCAGTTATGAGGCCTTTAATCTACATCCTAGTCATTTACAGATACAGAAAGCTGAGGCCAGGGTTGCCCAGCCTCTGCAACCCCTCTATGGCTGCATCAACTCTTAGGGGTTTGTGTGGGACCAAGCCTCGTGAACTCTTCCTCATCCTTTCTAAATCCCACTTTGAACTGGAAAGGTTGTCAAACCACTTGGCTTTAATCTGAGAAGCTATGGTTGAAACCAAGAGCTTTATGATTGACTCACTCCTGACTCTTTATAGCAGATAAATTACTTCTGCAGAGGAAGCACTGGGCTGAATTTTCAGTTAGGTCCCGCTTGATGCAACATGCCAGGGGGGCCTGTTTCAAATAGGCTCCATTGCCTGAATCTATCCCTGCTCCAATAGTGAAAATCACCCCTCCCATAATCCTTGGAGTCCACTGCTGAAAGCCCAGGACATCTTGGAATTTTGCTTCTTTTAGCTTCCACTTGGTATTTCTGGAGCTTTAGGTGGGTGAGGAAACTTAAGAGGGTCTTCCTTTCCATTGCACCCTGGCCCTGGGAGCTTGGTGGGGAAGAAATTAATGTTAGATTGTTTTTGTTTAAAGCCAGAGTCCCAGAAAAAAGAGTTTGCTGAAAAGCTAGAATCTCTACTACACCGAGCATACCACCTCCAGGAGGAGTTTGGCTCCACATTCCCATCAGATAGTATGCTCTTGGACCTAGGTGAGTTGGAATAGAGGTTTTTGGGTAAGGGATTTTGGGCAAGGTTTGGTGATTTGTGAACCGACCTTATATCCTTGATCCTTTTCCTCCACTCTACTTGGGCCTATAGCCCCCATAATCATTCTTTCTCTCTGATCTCCAAACTGTCCTTTAAGGGGGTAGTATGAAGCATAGAATGTTAGCACTGGAGGGGACCTTGAGATGAGAGCTAAGCTGCTCTTTTTACAGGGGTAGAAACTGAGTCCCAGAGAAGGGAAGGAACTTGACCAAAATTCCACAGGTAGATAATAAAAGAATCAGAACTAGAAGCCAACTCCTGTTCATTAAACCACTGAAAGTCTTGGGCTGAGTGGTCTTGCTCTGACACCCCCCTTCCCGATTTCTTCCCTGGAGACTTATATAAATACATAAAGCTCCTTCAGTGTTGGCTAAAGGGGCCTGTTGGTGGTGGTATTATGACCATTTGGAGCTTCTATCTGTATTTTTCTTATTTTCACTCTTTCTCCCTTCCTTTTGTCCTTTCTCTTTTTCTTTCTCCTTCCTTTTTCTCTTCCTCCCTTCCTCCCTTTCTTTTTCTTTCTTTCCTTCTCTCTCTCTTTCCCTCTTTCCCTTTGGCAGCCAGACTATTTGCAGCTAGAGCCTGTGCTGACATATTATCTTCTTGGCCTAATGTAATGAATGATAATAACCTACATTTATATAGGGCTTTAAAAGTTATAAGCTATTTGATATACATCGTATTTACATTATTGCATTTATTAAGTACTTAATCCATGCAAGGCAAGGAGACAAAAACAAAACAGTCCTTTCTCCTTGGTATATTACACTGGGGGGGAAACTTATATGAAGTTAAGACAAGATAAAATATGTACATTGTGGTGGTTCTTTAAGTGATCATGAAGAAAAGTTCCTGGATCCAAGAAAATTTGGCTGATTTCATCTCTCACCCTTTTCCCTAGAGAGGACACTCATGTTGCCTCTGACAGAAGGTTCTTTGAGACTTCAGGAAGATGATGAGGGCAGTCTTTCCTCTGAAGACTCTTTCTTCTCTGCTGCAGAGGTGACTTGAGGGCATTGCCCAGAATAGGAGAAGCTAGGGCATGGGCTGGGAGTATCTTTTCCCACTGTTGATGCTTTTCAGCTAGAATAGGGTTAAGATTGATGTCTGACTCTATCATATTACAGATGAGGAAACTGAGACCCAGATAGGGAAAGTGATTTACACAAGATCATACAGTGAGTCAGTCAAAGAACCAAGATTACAATTTATATCCTGACTCAAAATCTTATAAAAGTGAATGTTGAAAACTATCTTTACATGAAATTGGAAAAAAAAATACTGTTAAGTGGAAAAAAACAATAACATTAACAATTTATATTCTGATTCTCAGTCTGGTGCTCCTTCTACTATGTGAAAGAGCTTGGGAATTTGGCAGTGGTATATGTTCATTTGACATAATGATTGGTTAGATTAAGTGATTCCTTTCTCTAATTGTTTGTATCTAGATTTATGTTAACAAGTATAACTGGGGGGAAAAAAACAAGTATAACTGGTTTTATTTAAAAAAGAAAACCATCCTATAACAAACATAAGACCAGTTTGATCAGTCATCTGAACAGGACTCTTTTGTATTTCCCGTCCTTCCCAGACTAGGGCTAGTCATATAATAGGTGCAAATAGTAATTTTTTGGGGGAGTGATCAATCCTGAATTTTTCTCCTTTATCTTTTTACCTCCCGTAGCTGTTTGACTCCCTGCAGGTAGGAGATCTCCCTTTTCAGCTCTCTAGGCCAGCTGCAGCATATGAGGAGGCCTTGCAACTGGTGAAAGAGGGGAAGGTTCTCTGTCGGACACTGAGGTGAGAGGCCTAACTTCCCAGCTGATGGAAAGTGGAAACTGGGATAGGGACAGGTTTGGGAACTTACTTCAGGCATTTGTCTTCAGTACCTCCAAGAGTGATGACACCCTGCTAGGTATTAGTAAAAATGGAGTCATCTCTGCCCTGTAGGAGCCTAATAGTCTCATGAGCATCAGGGTAGCTAGAAGACTGAACACTTTACACATATTATTCCTTTTGAGCCTAACAACCAACCAACAACCTTATGAGATTAGGCACTCATTTTACAGAAAAGGAAACTGAGCCTCAGAGGCTAAGTAACTTGCCCATGGTCCCACATGAAGTGTCAGATGTGGGATTCAAACCCAGGCTTTCTTGACTATAAGCCTGATGCTCCATCCACTGCACCATACTGCCTCTCCAATTTCACAGGGTCATAAGATTCAGAGTATCCTTAGATGTATCATCTAGTCAGACTCCCTCGTTTTACAAACTAGAAAACTGAGGAAGAGAAAAATTAAGTGACTTTCCCACCCCTCTGATCTATTAAAATAAGATTGCTACAATGGGTGACTGAAGGGGTCAGGGTGTGGAGTCTGAAGCTGATGAGACTGATGAATAAAAACACAGTGGGAAGAAAAGAGAAAGAAAAGGAAAGAGAAGGAAAAAATGATTTCGTTGGATCTGTAAAGATTAATAGATGGCAGATTGAATATGTGCAGAAGTTTTTAATTTGGGAAAAGAATTACATAAATATGCTGTGTAAACTCCTTTTTAAATATGAATTCCTGGTCAGGACAGAAATAGCATTTCTGGATCATTGAGGCAGAGGCTTGTAAGCCGTTGCATGAACCCATTGTGCTCTACAGAAGTTTGCCAGGGTCCTGTGCAGTGTTTTGTAAGTAGAACCAGATTTTTGTGGCAGGAATTCATGGTTATTCTAAGTTTATAGCAGAATATAATTTCAAAATTCAAGTCCTTTCTCTTTTTCTCTTCATCTTTTTCCATATAACCTCGTCTTTACTCTGTAGTAGTGCATTTGTCCCCAGCTACAGTCAAAGAACCATACCAGAAAGCAAACTGCAGGTGTTTCTACTTCTGGGTAGAGGTTTCATTACCTTTTGACCATTGTGCCCCTAGTTATCTTATTGACACAAAGACTTTGTGACACCAGAAAGTTGGGCAGTTGTTGGTTTAGAATAGACACTCATTTGGTTGCTTCATGGCTCCTTCTGTTTTAAGGATTTTGTGTATGGTCATAGCTGTACCGTACTGTATTGTACCGTACTGTATTGTATCCTTACAGGGCACATTTCTCCCCCAAATCTGACTTGAATAAAACATAAAGTCAACCTATAATTGTACTACTAGCTTTATTCATTTTTTTACCATTGTTCTTGAAGAGATGGAAGGGATAAATCATCTAAACATTACTTTTATTATAAATTTTTCTATCAACAGAAGCAGTTAAATAAACAAAAAGGGGGGGAGTAAGATCATGCCAAAAATGTTTAGTCTTTAACAAGACAGAAATAAATGAATTAACACACAATAAAGAAGCAAATAAAATGCTCTTATACTGTTTTTCCTTCCAGGCCTATACCGTTTGGCCCTGTTTTCCTTCTTTCTTTTTTCATTCTATAGCTTAGCAGTTCTGTGTATAGTTCTGGTTCTGCTGATTTCCCTTCACATCACCTCATTAAGGTCTTTTGACATTTCATTGTAATATTTTATATTTTATCATTTTTTGTGACACCATTATTGAATAAAACAAATTTGAATTAAAAAATGTTTTAAAAATATTCACCACAAATAAGTCAAGGATTTCATCAGCACGGATATGAATACCCTTTATTTTTCTTTTTTTTTTTTTGTTTTATTTATTTATTTATTTTTAATGGTAATTTTTATTTATTTTTTTGTTTTCAACATTTACTTCCACAAGATTTTGAGTTCCAAATTTTTAACCCATCTCTACCCTCCCCCCACCCCAAGATGGCATGCATTCTGAATACCCCTTCCCCTAGTCTGCCTTCCCTTCTGTCTCTCCCTCCCTTCTCTTATCCCCTTCCCCTTCAATTTTCTGGTAGGACAGGATGGATTTCTGTACCCCATTTCCTGTAGTTCTTATTTCCCAGTTGCATGTGAAAACATTTTTTTTAAACATGTGTTTTTAAAACTTTGGGTTCCAAATTTTCTCCCTTCCTCCCTCCCCACCCACCCTCATTGAAAAGGCAAGCAACTCAATGTAGGTTATATATGTGCAGTTATGCAAAACACTTCCATAGTAGACATGCTGGGAAAAACTAACTCTATTTCCCTTAATCCTATCCCCCCCCCATTTATTCTATTCTTTCTTTGGACCCTGTCCCTCCTCAGAAGTATTTGCTTCTGATTACTCCCTTTACCAATCTGCCCTCCTCTCTATCGATAATTTTCCTACTCTCTTGTCCCCTTCCCCCCCTATTTTCCTGTAGGGTAAGACAGATTTCCACACCCAATTAAGTGTGTATGTTATTCCCTCCTTAAGTCAAATCCTGTGAGAATAAGATTCACTCATTCCCTCTCACCTTCTCCCATGTCCCCTCCACTGTAAGAGCCTTTTCTTTTCTGTTTTTTTTTTTTTTTGTGTGTGTGTGTGATAATTTACCCCGTTCTATCTCTCCCTTTCTCCTTCTCCTAATATATGAATACCCTTTCAACCAATGCAGCTCACAACCTCTCTGTGATTTAGTAGATGACTATGGCTGAAAAATTCATTATCAGGTAGCCAATGTAGAGGTGCACCTCCCAGAACTTTGCTAGGCTGGTTCTTGGGTGACAGGCAGACTTTCAGTGGAGCTGTGGAGCCCTAACAGTTGCCTTTGAATTAAAGGTGCTTGATCCACTTGAAATGCATCTCAGGTACTGAAAGAACTAACCATATGTGTTGTGATTGCCAAGCCAATGTCAGTGATATTTGAGAGATCGTGGAAAATGGATGTGGTGTTGCAGACCTGGAAAAGGACAATTAATTTCCTGATTTTTCAAAAAAAAGAATAAACAATCAGTGAGATGATTGGTGATCATCTAGAAAGGGAAGGGGTGATTACAACAGTCACCCTGGCTTCAGCAGTGACCAACCATTCCCAGTGAAATCTTCTGGCTTTTACCTGTAGCGTTTGCTGGACCGCGAAACCAGAAGACCAAAAGAATGTTGTAGGTGTAGTTTTACCTTATCTAGCAAAGCACTTGGTCCAGTGCCTCATGTGATTCTTAGACACCTAGACAAGGTGGAGAAATATGGACTAGATAGCAGTACAGTCTGATGGGTTTGGAAGTGGTTCAACTGCTAGATGCAAAGTAGACTCATTTTCAAGTATTTGAAGGAGTGTCATGTGGAAGAGGGTTTAGATGTGTTCTTTTGGACCTCGAAGGGCAGGTTCAGGAGCAACAGGTAGAAGTTGCAAAAAGAAACAAGTTTAGGCTTGATATCAAGAAAAACTTGCAGTTGTGCAGAAGTGCCATCTCAGGAGGTGAGCTCTCCCCCATTAGAATTCTTTTTTTTTTAAAGGCAATTGGGGTTAAGTGACTTGCCCAGGGTCACACAGCTAGTAAGTGTCGAGTGTTTGGTCAGAGGCTGGTTTTGAACTCAGGTCCTCCTGACTCCAGGGCTGGTGCTTTATCCACTGCGCCACCTAGCTGCCCCTCCCATTAGAATTCTTTAAGCAAAAACTGGATGGGTATTTGTCTGGTATGTTAGCAAAGTGGGTTTCCTTTCGGGTACAGATTGGTCCAGATTCCGTCGAGATCCCTTCCAGCTCTAAAATTTGGTGCTACTGGGCCAGATGGCTTCCTGGCTGCTTAGTGGAGGGTTGGCTAGAGCTTGTACCTCTGTGGTCATACTAGTGGACTTGGGGGTTATGTTGACATGATGAAGTGTTGGAGAACTCAGTGGGGGCTCATAGTAAAATGTGTTATAAAATATTGTCATTTTTAGTAATTATTTTTCAGGAAGCTTGGCATAGTAGATAGAGAGGAAAGGAAGACCTGGGTTCAGGTCTTACCTCTGACACATCCTGTGTGACCCTGACAAGTCAGTGAGTCTCTAGGCACCTCTCTAAGTCTATAGATTGCAGAGAAGTCTCTGACCTCATTGGAAGAGAGAGTTTTCTTTCCCAGGTTTTCATTATACCAATGAAATCACAGGTCTGGTCCCTATCACTATATCTATTTATCTTTACACATGTATACATTTATATATAAACATACATATATACATATATATATTTTTCCTTTCAAAGAGGTCTCATTTTAGGGGTGTGGCCTGTGTTCAGGGACAGTCTTCATTTGGGCCAGTCTCAAGTCATTCATACATCCATTTAGCTCATCTACAGACCAGAGAAGACCGAAGAGATGCCCTGTTCTGGTTGACTCACAATTGTAATCATTGCCCTGAAAGAAAACTCAGTTTCCAAGCCTGCCCCCTCCTCAGTTGAGGAAACTGCGCTTTAGAGGGGAAGCAGCCTGTCCAAGGTCAAAATGGCAGCAGTGGAGCCAGGATGAGAATCCCCAAGGTTCCTAACACCCAATAGTCCCAGGCCAATTGCCTTCTCTGACTTGGAGACTGATGTTGTCGTCCTGTCTTTGTTTTCTTCTCTAGGACAGGACTTCTGGGTTGCTACAGTGATCAGGACTTCTTAGCTAAACTACACTGTGTCCGGCAGGCCTTCCAGGTGGGTGGGAGTGTAGGAAACTAGGAAATGGCATTGCAGGGGGGGTGGGGGGTGGGGGGTGGGGAAGGAACAGGACGGGATAAGATAAGTTGCTTTTTCCTTGTGTCCCAAGTTCCCCTTTCACTTTGTGTGGGGGTCATCACCATCCACTATTCAAATAACTTTGCTGCCTACAGGACAGCAGGTCCCAGGTTTTTCATTACCTTTGCCCATTTTTCCATTGGGAGCACTCTACCAGCCTGTCCATTGGAGTATATGGACCCAAGGACCTAGCACCTGGTATATTGTTCAAATGGACGCATAGATAGGGAGTGCTTAATGACGGCCCTATTTATTTGCCAGGGCTGGTGCTTTGAATTGTGGGGATACTGACAAAACAAGATGCTCCCTCTTCTTAAGAAGCTTGTGTTATCTTGGGGGAGACCAAACATGGAGGAGTATGGGGGGGTGGGTATGCGCGTCTGGCAGCCAGGCAGCCAATGTGGAGATACTGTAGGCTGGAGAGGGAGCGGCATCGCTGGCTTTTTCCTTGATGTGTTAGTTCCAGGCAGAGTCCTCAGTCACTGAGTTGACCTCAGGCTGGAGTGTCCCAGGGGGCCAGGCAGCCAGTGTGGTGGAGATAGAGCAGGCCAGACAGGGAGCAGGAGTTAGAGAATGCCTTAGGAGTTCTTGGATAATATCACTCCATTGAATCCCTCCACTCTTCACTCCTTAGGGACTTCTGCGAGATGAAAGTAACCAGCTGTTCTTTGGGGAGGTTGGGAAACAAATGGTGATGGGCCTGATGACCAAAGCTGAAAAGGTAGAACGCTGATATGTTGCTGGGTGCTGGGTGGCCAAGGTGACTTGTGTGGGCTTTGAACATCGTGGCTGCCCTCCAAGTTTTTAGACTCTGGAGGATCTTGCTTCTTCAGCCTCTTCCTGGGAGTCACAAAGCCCAAATTTTACTCCTGGCTGGGTCACTAACAGCCTTAACTAATGTCCCAGTGGCTCTTGCCATTCCTTCATTCTTACTTTGCTTCCCCGGGAGGTTGCTTGTGCCTGCTCCTAGGGAATGCCACCCAGGGTTTTGGCCTTTGCTGCTCACCCTACTTCTTATCTCAAGGGGAGGACCCCCTAGCAGTCTTCCCTGCTAGCAAGATGAACCCATGTTCCTTTTCCCTTTTTAGAACCCAAAGGGCTTCTTGGAGAGCTATGAGGAGATGTTGAATTATGCCCTGAGACCAGAGACCTGGCCTACCACACAGCTGGAGCTGGAGGGGCGGGGGGTGAGTTGACCTCAGATGCTGGGGCACTTGCATGACTTTGTGACATTCCTAGCGGATTGTTAGCACCTACCTTCCTGGAGCCTTGTCCCATTTCCCTGAACCCCTTAGTGGGGAGGGAGACTGTTGGGTAATAACTTGATTCCTTTCAATTTCCAGGAGCTGCCAGGGGACTAAGAGGCCTCCAAAATGGGTGGGATTGGATTGGGGTGGCAGCGGAGGAGAAAGGGATCCTTTCTCTGTCCCCAAGGTCCAGTCTGAGGTCCCTGGTTATGGGAATGGAAGCTGAGGATCCCCAAGACTGGGCTCCCATGGCCCCCACCACTCAGGGCCTCCAGGAATTGGGGCACAGCATGCCTGGGGTTCCTTCACCATCCAGGGCCCCAAAACATGAAGCTGATGACTTGTTGGTGAGCCCTTAGGGCTGGGCTCAGTGAATCATAGGATCACAGGATTATAGTTGGGTTGCTTCTCAATAGCCCTGAGAAGTTGAGGTGGGGTGGTTCTGACCCTTCTGGTCAAGGCTCTTTCAGGTATCCTCTTACCTTCCCAAGCTGGCAGGGGGCCAGGGCAGGGTGGACAACTCTGTCAGGGCTTCTTCCCAGAAATAGGTACGGTAGGGGTTGTGGTAGTTTATGGGGAGCCATATGTTTATAGTCCCAGGTCTGTCTCAGTCAGGAGAAATCGGAGTATTTCTTCTCCAAGGGTCATCTTGACTTTGAAAACAAAAAGTAGACCTGCTTCTGAAGCTGACCAGCTCTGGCAGGAGGGATCTCTTTATGTAAAGTAGTATGATGCTATACTCGGAGTTAGGAGACCTGGGTTCTGGTCTTGACTCTGCCATTAATTATCTATGTGAGCCTCAGTTTCTCCATCTGTAAAATGAGGGGGTTTGGACTCAATGGACTCTGAGATCCCTTAAGCTTGTAATATTATCTCTGTCATCCTTCCTGAACTGAAATGTCACTTTCTCCAGGGGAGAAAGGACCAAGAGGGTCCTTAGGCAGTCCCAGCCCCCTCATTGCCTGGCTCCTTCCTGCCAGGTGGTATGCATGAGTTTCTTTGACATCGTGCTGGATTTCATACTCATGGATGCCTTTGAGGACCTGGAGAACCCTCCCTCCTCTGTGCTTGCTGTCTTGCGAAATCGCTGGCTCTCCGACAGCTTCAAGGAAACGGTAGGTCTCCTTACAACTCATCTGTGTTCTCCTCCCTTACCCTTTCCTCCAGTTTTGACTGGCTTCCTCACACATGAGACTTAACCTGCGAGTTGGATCCTAGAGATATAGGACACTTCCCTTACTATCTCCTTCATTGTAGCTGGAGTCCTGGAGTAGTGCTGTCTAGAAGGAACAGATAAAAGGACTTGGAGAGAATGTAAAGGGCTGGCAGGCAGAGAGAGGAAATTGAGAGATGCAGGGAACCTCAGAAACTGCTAAACATCTTGGGGTCAACTCCTGAGCCTTCAGCTTAACGGAGGTGGAAGCCTGGTGTAACGGAAAGAGTGCTGGCACTGGAGCCGGTCCTCTGATACCTACAGCTTGGGTGACATTGGGCCTAGCATTGAATGTCTTCATCTGTAAAAGGGGGAGGTTGGAGATGCATGGCCTCTGCGGCCTTTCCAGCTTCTAGGTCTATGATCCCAGCGGAGGGAGTTTGTCTCTTGGTAGGGTGGGGTATGGTGGGAATAGGCTGAGGCTACCCTGAGTGTGGCAATTTTTATCTTATCCAGGCTCTGGCCACTGCCTGCTGGTCAGTTCTGAAAGCCAAGAGGAGGCTTCTGATGGTGAGTAAGGTCCAGTGAGCACATTGGCCCCAATACACCTTTCTTCACAAGAGACTCAGATTAAACCACAAGCTTGCATTGAGTATTTACTCTGTGCCCAGGATCTCGATGGGTGCTTCTAAAAGAGAAGTTGAAGAGTTAGTCTTTGCCTTCAAGATGTTTGCAGTCTGTTAGAGGAGATGACAATTCAAGAGCAGTAGAGGGCAGTATACCATCGTGTGTGTGGTGTAGACAGTAAATGCTGTAGGAGCAGAGAGAAGGGGAAGATTATTGAGGGCAGCTGTAGTCAGGGAGGCTTCAGGACTTGAGCTGGGCCCTGAAGGATGGTTAGATTTTGGACAATGAATTGGGGCATTCCTGGCAGGGGTCCCAGCGTGAGTGAAGGCCCTCCATCTGGGTGTAGAGTGATTCCCTTTCTGCTGAGTGCTGGAGATACAGACAAAGCAAAGTGATCCCTATTCTCTCGGAGCTTACATTCCTTTGGGGGACACTAAACACAAAGGGGGTTGGGGGGGAGATACATGACAAACATAATTCATGGGTCATTGCTTCCTCTTTCCCAGGGAAAGCAGTGCCACTCTAGACTGTTTTCACTTGTTCCAGGCTGGTGACCACTTTTTACTGCTTTGGTTTGTGGCACCCTTTGCCTTTCTGGGCTATGCAGCTGGTTCTTAAATGGGCTAGTAGCTTGGTTTGGAACCAAGAGGTAGCTTGGCTACAGAGCAGTGAATGGCTTCTTTTTCTTGGCTCTCTGAGTGGCCCGCCTGATGTCACCTCCCTTCTCTGACCACAGGTGCCCGATGGCTTCATCTCCCATTTCTACTCCGTATCGGAGCATGTTAGCCCCGTTCTTGCCTTTGGCTTCCTAGGGCCCAAGCCACAGCTGGCTGAAGTATGCACTTTTTTCAAGGTAAGATGAGTTTATAAGTTTCTGTTGGTTGGGGAGGGAGCTTCGGCCTTGTTGCAACTTATTGGTAAATGGGAGGGCTCTTGACTCCATTTCCTTTCCACCTCCCCCACTCCCATCTGTCCAGGGTTCCCTGTGAAGAAATCAAACTGGAAATTTTCTTTCTCCCTTGGTGATACTTTCATAACCAAGTTGCCCCAGGCAGGGAGGGCTGATGGTGGGATGGCAGTTGCCTCAGGAAGCTTCCAAGAAGGGGATGAGGAGCTATGCTGATCTTTTGCTCCTCTTTCCAGAGTAATGATACATTGGTTGCTCTGCTGCTCTCAGGGTTAATTGTGCTGATAGAGAGGCACCCTGTAGCTCTAAATGCTGTATTCCTGTAATGCAGATAGGGTCTTTCTTCCTTACTCTTCTACTCTAGCTAAGGAAAAGAGAAATAATCCATATTTGTTGAAAACCGTCTCACATGTCCAGCCTTGTGCTAAACACTTTAAAGCATACAAAAGAAATTTGATCTGGTCTCTGCCTTTTAGGAGCTTATACCCTAGTTGACAGAAAACATTAGCAAACCACACAAGACAAACTATAACCAAGGACTAGGTTGGGTGGGACAAACACCCCAAGAGGGCAGAAGAGGGGGAGATCAGTGGAAGGCAGGGAAGGTTTAATGTAGGAACTGGGACTTGGGCTGGGCCTTGAAGGATGAGTAGGATCTAGATAGGACAGTAAGAGCAAGGAGGAATCAGACCTTCTAAACCTAGAGAAGTACTCTAGAAATACTCTGTCCAATTCTCACACTTCATAGTTAAAGAAACTGAAACCCCAAGAAATGAAGTGATAGCCCAGCATCAGATTGGGGATAGTCAGCAATGGCAGGATGTAAATCCAGTATCCAGCCAGAATGAGGAGTGTGAGCAGTGACCTGGAGACGGGAACGAACCTGATGGGCTGCCAGGACGGTGAGGTGGCCAGCTTCCCTGAGAGCAGGGGTGGCCTAAGATGGGTGGTGACCCCGCTCCAAAGCCCACCTCAGTTACTGACCTATGTCTGCAAGTCCCACACCTCCCAGAGCTCAGCTTCCTTATCACACGATGGGGACGATGATGCTTGTAATACCTGCTTTACTGGGTTGTTGCAGGATAAGTGTTTTGCAGTCCTTCAAAGAGCTATGTGAATGAGTGGATCTGTTGGTGGGAATCAGATTGTGGGGAAACCGAAATTCATAGCCCCTTTCCCTCCTTCCTCAGCATCAGATTGTGTACTACCTGAAGGACATGTTTGACCTGGACAACGTGCGCTACACCACCGTGCAGTCGCTATCGGAGGACATCCTTCAGTTGTCTCGCCGACGCAGTGAGATCTTGTTGGGTTACCTGGGAACAGAACCTGTCCGTGAGATGAACGGGATGTTGCCCCATGAAAATGGACCCCTGGGGGAGCTTCATTAACCGCCACGCCACCCTGAGGAGGGCTGACTCCTCTCCTCTGTCGTTCTCCACTGTGGCAATGGGTGCTTGCTCTCTCCTGAGTTACATGAGTAGCTGCGGCTTAGCCCAGCCCCTGGCTTCACTTGGTCCTTCTGCTTGCCCTCCGTGGAGGGATCTGCCAAGCCAGTGTCTTGGACCAGTCGATTGCTTCCTATTTTCCCTTGCATTGGAATTCTAGGCCCCAGATCTCAGCTCAGAAGGACCAATTTGTGATGCCCCTCTCCTCCCCTCCTGTTTGTCCCTATATATCATACAGTGGCAGTTCCCTGGCCGTGGCCAGGAAGCTCACATGTCTCTCCTCAGCCTCTTTCTCCTCAGGAACCAGCTGGCAATGCCTTGTTTGTGAGGCTGGCAGTAAAGGTCAGCACAGGTGTCTATCTGTGCATCACTAGGTGGGCTTAGACGTGCAGCTGGGATAATGTCCCTTGTGAGGTGAGGCAGGGAGGCGAGGGACAAGTGAGCTTCTTGGGAGACTGAGAATGATGGAGGCTCTCTGCCCCACCCTCTTCAGACTGGCTCTGCCATTGGCCAAAGCTGAGAGGATCCCGTGCTCTGGATTGTGCCATTGGGTACGATGGTGTGAAAGTGATGGAGGGAGGAAAGCTGTGAAATAGATTGAGCAGTGAGAGCAGGAAGAAGAGTCACGTGTGACAGGGAGAAGAAAAGAAAAGACACAAGGGTGGTGGGCATTTAGCAGCCCCTTAGTTGGCTTCAGAGACATCGTTTGATGTGGAATCACTGTGTCTGGGACATTGAGACCAAGAAGCAGGTTTGCTGAATCCAGAGTCTGATGTCTTTAGGGATTAAAAAGTGTACTCTGCTGCTGTGAGAGAGAGATTGAGAGTACGAGAGAGGGTGAGTGAGTTTAAGGAGGGGGTGGAGAGTGAGTGAGTGTTGGGAGCTCAGTACAGAGGCTCCTGGGAAATCTGGGCCAAGCCCAGATCGGAATTACTGCTGTTCCCATTACTAAGGTGCTACAGGCTAGGGAGGAAGGAGCAAACACAGGTCTGGTCTGTGATGAGGGAACTTCAGGTCTCTCAGGTTCCCAGGAATCTGTACTGGTCCAGACAGAAATAAGAGTAGTGACAATTAGCTGTGGTAAAATAAGAATGAGAAACTGTATAGTAGAGTGGAGAGAGGCAGCCTCAGAGTCAGGAAGACTGGGGTTCCCATCCTGCTGTGTGGGTATGGCCCTGGGTGAGGCACTAAACCTCTCAGGGCCCCAGGCAGTTTTCTAGGACTTCCAGTTGTGGGCCAGAGCTCCTCTGTTGAGAATGAAGGACACTTCCTCACCGTGTATATGTTGGGTGGGGTGTCCAGGGAAGGGAGGAAGGGGTCATGCAGCTTAGTGAGCATGGGTGAGGGACACAGCTGCATCAGAAATCTGACAGGCTTTCTTCTTTCCCTGGGCTTAGGGCTCCTTTCCTATTTCACCCACAGAAAATAGCTTCAGAAGAACTTGGAGGTCTTAATAAAATGGAAACACAAGTGGCCGAGAGGGTGACAAAAACTACATAGAGGGAACCTGAGAGAAGAGAGTAGAGGGAGATAAGAAGGGTCACAGAAAGCTAGAGCTGGAAAGAGACAAGAGATCATTGAATCCAGCTCTTTCATTTTATAGCCAAGGAAACTGAGGCCCAAGAAGTGAAGTGACTTGGCTCAGAGTCTAGTTGGTGGGGGAGCTGAGACTTCAATTTAGATTTTCTGATTCTAGATACAACCATCTTTATTATACCACAGATCTTTGGTCTGCTGAGCAGAGTAAAAAAAGGTTATTTAGAGTTTGCCAAATATGTATCAACACCCTGTCCCCTCCTTCCAGCAAGAAGGAAGCAGCCCTGAGGACAAATCTTTTTTCTCCACTTTATTATATTGTGTGGGTGTTGAGTTGAAGGTCCATAGCCTCCTAGCCTCCACCTGGAAAGATCCCTTGCATATTTATTGGGTGTGTTACTTGGAATATTCCTTAGCTGATGGACTTGGACCTTGATCTGCAGAGTTTTATTCCCTTACATATTGCACAAGCCCACTTATACTCATTGTATTGACCTTAGTGTTCCAGCTCCTCCTAACCACCAAAGCCAGCCCACTAGCTTTGTCTGTCCCAAGGCCAGGTGAATGCCTGCCAGCATGGGGAATGGGGTGCGGTATTTGGATGAAATTCATAATGTTGGCCAATGGGTAGAGTTTAACCAGCCACTCTTCCTTCGCCTGCCAACCATACTTTTCTGAAGAATTCAAACATCATTTCAAGAACCTTGGTTTTGCCATCATTTCCCCCACTAAAGATTGTGATGTTACACCATCTCCACCAGCAAAGACTCCTGGAAGTCTCCCTGGAAAGAGTGGGCAAAAAGCCCTTTGGTGTCTTGAAGTGCTGTAGAGGCCAATCCCCACAAAGCAGAAGGAGCTGCATTTTTAACTCCTAGAAATTCCCTTCCCAGCACCTGACAGTTGATTCCCACCTGGGGAAGTGAAGTCATCACTACCAAACCTAGGGCCTTTGTGCTCTGGCCCTTGCTCTCTCTGTGTGTCCCATCCCTCAGCACTCTGTCCGACCAGCACTTTCTCTATGATTGGTCAGGCACTGGGGTTGGGGCTCATGGCCTCATATGGAACAGGGCCGATGTATGCAAGAAAAGATGATAGGTAAATGACAAGTTTCCCTTTACCCTTGTTTTTCTTGGGAAGCTTTTAAACAGATGTATTTCCCAGAACTTTTTATTCAACCAGTGAGCAAAGCAAATACTTTTTCAATGTAGTCTAAGTTTAGAGAGCTGTTTTTGGTATTCCATTCAACACAGTTGGCCACTATAGATAAGTTACGTTAGCATTTCTCTAAACTATCCTCCTTTTCAAGAGTTTCTATCTTAGCTCTGCAGACTCACTTCACTCACAGCGATTACAGCATTGGGCTTGAGCAGGACTTTTAAAAATTGCCTTAAAAGGGGGGAGAAAAGTTGAATTGTCCCTTGAATTGAGACTTTAAAAAGTTGATTTTTATATGTGTGGGATTTCTTAAAATCTCAAGAACTGTCTTTTTGGGGAAAGGGTCCTGAGTCAAATTTTAAGGAGAATAGAAAGATTGGAATGAGATTTGCCTGTTCCTTCTCTGAGCCACCCATGTTGCCCAGACTTCTAGAAGATATGAGCCCTGACCATTCCAGCAATTCATAGCTCTCTTGATTGTAAACTTGCCTCTACGGACATCAGCCTGAAGAACCAGTCTCCTGGGAAAGCAGTATGCTTTGTAGGTGGAGGCAGTCTTCCCTTAATCTCCATTTCTCAGATGTGCTCTTTGTTGTCACTCTCACACAATCATTGAATGTAATCTTGTGCTTGATTCCATCCCCCTTTGCTTCCCTCTCTGATCTCATAAAGGTATCATTTCTCTTGATTTTGTTTGTTTACATATTCATGAACTGCCTCTGACTCTGATTTGCAGCTTTTACCTTTTGTATGGTAGATGGAGTGTGTTGACTGAAGTCAAATAAAAAAAAAATTTTAAAACATTTCTTTCACTCCCACCCTGGTGCTGTGTGGACTTGTGCGTGATTCTGTTTTGATAGGGGCTAAGAGGGCATCATCTCCTCAGAATTAGAGTAGTTTCTGAAGGGAAACATAAGAGTTACTAAGTCACTCAGAAAGTGTGCTCCTTGTTCCACTGGCAGGTGGCAAGAAGTCCACGGGCCACTTCTTTGGATTGACTTGAGTGGTATCTGGTATGCAGAACTCAAAAACCTGACCTGGGCCAGGCTTTGGAATTAATGACCATTGTGTTGTCATTTACATCATGAGGGCACTTTGTCACTGCCATTAGGGATTTAATAAATGTTTTTAAATTATCCTTTGCCTTAAAATCATAGAATGTGGAAAGAACTACAGATCATCTATCTAGTCCATGGGTTCTTAACCTGGATAGATTTCAGGGGATCAATGAACTTAGATGGGGAAAAAAAAATTACATCTTCATTTTCATAAGTTGATTTTTGGATGTTTGGGATTTCTTAAAATCTCAGGAACTGTCTTTTTGGGAGAAGGGTCCCGAGTCAAATTTTAAAGAGAATTGAAAGATTGGAATGAGATTTTATAAAATGTATACATTTTATAAACATGATTTATAAGGGGTCCATGACAAAAAAAGAAATAAATCTCTGCTCTAGTCCAAGCCCTTCATTGTGCAAATGTGTCCCTAGAGAGGGACAGTGTTTTACTTTAAATCATACAGCTGATAAGTTGCAGAACTGGAACTAGAATCTAGATTCCCTCGCTCCCAATCCTATGCTGTTTCGACTCTACTAGGCTGCCTCTTTTATGTTTTATTTTTTCCTATCATTGCAATTGCATTACATCTTAAAGTATCTACCCTCCATGTCTAGGCAAATAGATTATTCCCTAGCCAAAGAAAACTAGGTCTATTAGGCAGCTTGAAATATAATAAAGATATAATGAAATGATCCAGGTGCAATGATCAGGTCAAGAAGACCTGAATACAAATCCACCCTCAGACACTAGCAGGATGGCCCTGGACAAATCATTTAACACTTGTCTGCCTCAGTTTCCTCATCTCTAAAATGAGCTAGAGCAGGAAATGGCAAACCACTCTAGTGTCTACCAAAAATCCCCACATGGAGTCACAAAGAGTAGGACATGACTGAAAAATGAACAGCAATAAAGTTTACATTAGCAAACTCCAGCCCTTGAGTACGAGAAACCTCTACTCCCAGAGCCAGGGAGCTGCCTGCTACCAAACTAACGAATACTCCTTTCTACAGTAATTGATCGTCTTTTAGCCCAGGAACTCTGGGCTGTGCTGATAGCCGTGGGTGGTGTATTTCATTTTCCATTTTTCAAAGATTATAGACACATAACTTTTTCGCTGGAGTGGAGTTTCTAGATTTAGGGTCACAGCTATTCAGTGCCAGGTTCAGGAGTGCGTGGGGTACCCATGGCAGAAAGGGAATGAATGATAGCCCCGGTTCTGTATCTCATGACTATCCTTGCTCTTAAAGCTTCTGCTGTCACCCAGTTGGAACATTAATAATGACGTACTTTAGGTGTATGTAGGTAGACACTTGTTTGGAAGCCCTGACTGACTTCTCACCTGAATGAATCAACACCAACTTACTGCTGCAAATGCCGAAGGTGAAAGGTTGTCCTTTGCCCTAGTAGGGACAAGAGTCTTCAGGAACTTTTCCTTTAAAAAAAAAAAAGAATTTTATTGATAGTTTTTATTTTTATATCTCCTACCTTCCCAGAGAGCTATCCTTTTTAAGAAAGAGTGAAACAGGGATAAAAAAAGTTCAGCAAAACCAACATTGAGAAAGCCTAACATGTATGTGTTTCAATTAACTAGTCCCCCACCTCTGCAAAGAAGCAAGGGAGGGAGGTGTCTTTTCGTATGTCTCTTCTTGGAAGTCGAGCTTGGATGCTATAATTTTGCAGCATTCAGTTTCTGTTGCTTTGCTGTTTTTTCCCTGTCATTGTGTAGATTGTTTTCCTGGTTCTTCTCACTTCGCTTTGCATTCAGTTCATATAAGCCTTTCTTTGCTTCTCTGCATTCATATTTATTACTTCCTATGACACAGTGATATTCCATGACGTTCATGTTCCACAACTAGTTTAGCCATTCCTCACACACACACACCTGATGCATGTAAAGCCCTTGGCTTTGGATACAAACTGGAATGACACAATCCACTGAGCTGAAGGAGGTTCAATCTGGTTGGTGAAACAGGATCATGGAAATAGAACTAAGTGCCATAGGATTTGTACCAATCCTATCCTGGAGAGAAAGCCAAAAGAAGAGAAAACTTCCCGATCTCTGGAAAGGTTGGGAAGGGTTTCACACAGGAGGGGGGACTAGAACTGGAGACTTAAGGGGTATAGAGGACTTAGGCATATGCGAAGAGGACTGAGCAGGAACTTAAGGAATGGGGTACTAGCACAGTAATAACTAATATTTAAATGGTAATTTAAAGTTTATTGTTCAGTTGTGTCCAACTCTTTGTGCCTCCATTTGGAGTTTTCTTGGCAGAGATAACTGGAGTGGTTTGCCATGTCCTTCTTCATCCCATCTTACAGATGAGAAAACTGAGGCAAACAGGGTTAAGTGACTTGCCCAGGGTCACACAGCTAGTAAGTGTCCGAGGCCAGATTTGTACTCAGGAAGATGAATTTTCTTGACTCCAGGCCTGGCACTGTAACCACTATGTCACCTAGCTGCCCAATTACAAGTGCTATCCCCCTTTAAGGAGAAGAAAACAAGCTTGGCTAAGTTTAACAACTTGCTAGTATAATCTGCACTGAGGAAGCTAGAATGCTAATGATTTTTGATGCCCATTCCAGCACTAATATTCTAGAATTCCTAATTTTATTTTGCCATCACTAGCATTTTGATGATGTTTCCCATATTTGCAGGCATTGTCATGGAAGCAGTAGATTCTGGTAATTTAAGGGATTCTTTGTGGTACTGAAGTTGTAGGGCAATTGGGAATCTAACAGGTTACTGTTCCAAAGCAGTGTTCCTATGGGGAGGTCAAGTCTCTCTCTACCCATTTGAGGCTCTCAGAGAAAACTTGGCTTCAGATTTCTTAGAGACTTGGGAGTGAATGAGACTCTGATGGCTAAGACCTAGGGCACAAGACTGAACTGTTCCAGGGGCAGCTAGGTGATTCAGTGGATAGCACATCAGCCCTAGATTCAGGAGTTCCTGAGTTCAAATCTGACCTCAGACACTTACTTACTAGCTGTGTGATCCTGGGCATTACCTCCAAAAAAACAAAGGAAAGAAAGAAAGAATTAACTGTTCCAGTTATGTTAATCTTTTTAGTATTTTTGGGAAAAGGGAGTGTATAACACTTGTCTTATGTTTTTTTTTCCTCCTTTCAATTAAATCATAAGCCGTTAGAAGGCAGAGATCCTATTTTTTCTTTCTTCCTAGAGTTCTTTCCTCTAAGTCAGGGGATACTAAAGTTGGAAACAATTTGAGAATATAAAATGTTTAAAATGTGAGAGCTGGAAGAGACTTTGGGGATGGCCTAATTCAGCCCCTTCATTTTAAAGATGGGGAAATGGTGGTCCCTAGATGAGAAGTGACTTGTCACAGATTACATAAAGAGAAGAAGCAGGCCTGGGCTCTCAGATCTCCCCGGTCTCAGACTGCTGTACTTCCCACTGCACCCCTCTGCTTTTACCTCATACTGTTGCGCTCTGAGAGGCTGAGACCCCTCAAAGACTGAAGTACAGGACGGAGTCGTCTGGAATGAATTCACAGACTCAAGCATCCTTTAAGTCAAGGTGGCAAAGATTTATTGTTATGCTTTTTGGCAGGCAAGGATTCTTAAGTAACCTGCAAGAGACTGAGGATGGAGCTAGGGTTTATATGGAAAAGGGCATGGGAAAGGAATGCCAGGGACACTGATGAGGTAATCTAAAGGTCCAGGTGTCTTTGGGAGCTATGGATGGGAAAGTACAGGGAGTATACCAGACAGGCAGGGAGATGACAGAGGTATGCATCTTGGGAGTCTGGCAGGAGGAAGAGTCCTTGGGCCAGCCGAGGACAAAACTCCTTGGGCTGCGCAAGGCACCCCTCTCTCTCTCTGTCTTGATGAGAGAATGCTCTGCAACAAGGGAAAGCTTTCTCACAAGTCAGGAACTTACTAAGGAATTGGGTGGCTTCCAGAGACATAATCTAAGGGCTGGGGCCTGAGCAGCCCAGTACTCTCTCACCCAGCTTTGTGTAGCCGCACCAGGGAGAGAGATAAGGTTTGTGCTGGGGCGCACGCATGAATAACTGCTAGGCACAGTGTCCTTGGGCTGGGGAGTGGTTATCAGAGATAATGTTTCTGAGACTAGAGAGAAATTGGGGTCCAAGTACAAGCACAAGCACCTAAACACAAGCACCCAAGCACCCCATCAATACCTCTCCTCCCCTCCCCCCCACCCCCATGATCCAGTGCTGTTCCTTAAGTAATACTCTCAGTCTTCCAACTCTGAGCATTCTCTATGGCTGGCCCCCGTGCTGGAATGCTCTACCTCCTCATCTTCACTTACTAATAAAATCCCACCTTCTTCTACAGGGAGCCTTTTCCCAGTCCCTCAATTCTAGTACTTTCTTTCCATTAATTAAAGTTGTCCACATGTTGGTTTTCCCATTACACTATAAGCTCCTTGAAATCGAAGACGGTCTAACTTTCTTAGTGTCACCAGTTGCCTGAAATATAGTAGGTGCTTAATATATGTTTATGGACTGACTGTTTTTAATAAAACCTCAACTAAAATGCTCGAGGAATTTGGTAGGTGAAGATACTGGTTAACTGAATGTTCAGATTAACAGTGGGTTAAGCATAAAACTTTTTATTTTAGGGCTTATTTTAAAAAATTGAAAGGGTCGAGATCTGTGATTTTGCTTGGTATGGGCAACTCCCAGGTGAAGAAATTTCCTCTACCAATACTTTCTCTACAACTTACTTTTCCATAGCACTGAGAGGTGAAGTGATTTGCTGAAAGTATATCAGAAGTGGGACTTGAATTCAGGTTTCCCTGACTCTGAGGCCAACTCAGCTCCCAATGCCATGGTGCCTCTCTTGTATTTTTATGTCCCCCTGATTTTGAATATATCCTTCCACCTTTTCCTATCCCTTGAGCCATCTCTTGCAACAAAGAATAAAAAGAAAAAAGTTAAGTGAAACAAGCTAACACATCAATTGATGGCACATGCAGGATAGAATAGCCATAGTCCCCAGCCTTGGCAAAAAAGAGGAAGGATGTGTCTTTTTTCAACTCTTCTCTAGAGTTAATTTTCCTGATCATTAAAATTACATAGAGTTCATCTTCATTTTGTTCTTTCCATTTAAATTTCAACACTTCTTATTAAAGAAATACAAAACCAAAAACTTCTTTAAAACTTGAATTGATTTTTCTTTTCTGAATAAGTGTAGTAAACACAACATATTTGATGATGGGGGAATTAGTAGAAAGCTTCCATCTCTTTTCCTGGTGTGAAATAAGACCCTTTCCCTTAGCCCTCAGAAGAGCCCTCTATTCTGGATCCCTACTCCCTTTGCTGTCTCCTCTTGCAGAGTGTGTCTTGGGACCATTTAGACCTTGGTTTATATATTTTATTTTTTCCCAATTACATGTAAAAACAATTGTTAACATTCATTTTTTAAAATTTTAAGTTCCAAATTCTCTCCCTCCCTCCCTCCCTCCCTCCCTCCCCTCACTCCTCCTTGAGAAGGCAGGCAATTTGGTATAGATTATATATATGTGCAGTCATGCAAAATATATTTCCATATTAGCCATGTTGTGAAAGAAAACACAGACAAAAAAAAGACAAAAAAACCCCCAAACAAACAAGAAAAAGAAAGTAAAATAGTATGCTTTGATCTGCATTCAGACTCCATCAGTTTTTTCTCTGGAGGTAGTTAGCATTTTTCATCATTAAGTTCTTCAGAATTGTATCATATTTCTGTGAAAGAAATTATTTCTTTTATATTAATAAGTAATTATTAATTGAGATTAAGATTTTTTCTTTTCTATTTCCTCATTCAAAGTCCAGTCTCTCAAGGAGATTTCTAACCTTGCCCCCAAATTTACCACCACCTCTCCCTGGGCCCCCCATCCCCAGACCATTTTATCTGGGTGGGAATTCTTATCTCACCCAACTAGAAAACCTTACAAAAGACTCTAATCTAGGTGAATTCTGGCCCATTGTGTTCTACTCCTGACAGGCTTGGGTGGGTGGGTGGGGGGTAGATCCGTTTTTCTAGATTGCCCAATCAGGAATAGTCTGGCTTGAGATGAGTCTTTGTCCATGAGTGATATAATCAGAGTCACATACTCAGCCCCTCATTCAGATAGGCCCACCTCTCATTATAATATTCATTATCATTAATTATTAACCAATCAGAGTTGATTTCTGCCTGTGGGGAACACTCACTCTTCCAAGGGTATATAAGTATCAAGGGGCCTCCATGAGAGGTCTTTGGTTTACAAGAGAAAGCCAAATGACCATCCTTTTATTAATTATTCACCAGTCATAATTAATAAAATGATATAATATAATATATATAATATAATAAAATGACATGTCTCTCAAATTTTTCACTCATTACAGCTGAAAACATCTAAGTCATTCATGGTTGATCATCATACAATATTGTTGTTACTGTGTACGGTGTTCTCCTGGTTCTGCTCACTTCACTTTGCATTAGTTCACATAAGTCTTTCCAGGTTTTTCTGAAAGTATCCTGCTCATCATTTCTGGTGTGTTTGTGTGTATTTGATATGTTTAATTTTGCAGATTTTTTTCTTTTTTTTTTTCTTTTTGAGCCAATTGGGGTAAAGTGACTTGGTCACACAGCTCCTAAATGTCTGGGACCAGATTTGAACTTAGGTCCTCCTGACTATAGGGCCGGTGTGCTATCTACTGTGTCACCTAGCTGTCCTCCTGCTCATTTCTTATGGCACAATAGTATTCTGTTATAATCATGTACCACAACTTGTTCAGCCATTCCCTAATTGATGGGCATCCTTTCAATTTCCAATTCTTTGCCACCACAAAAAAGAGCTGTTACAAATATTTTTGTATATATAGGTCCTTTTCTTTTTCTGTCTTTCTTTTTTAAAAAAATTCTTTAAAATACAGACCTAGTAGTAGTATTGCTGGGTTGAAGGATATACACAGTTTTATACCCCTTTGAACATAGTTCCAAATTGCTCTCTGGAATGGGTGGATCAGTTCACAACTCTACCAATAATGCATTAGTATCCCAATTTTTCCACATCTCCAATATTTACCATTTTTTTCTGTCATATTAGCCAATCTGATATAGCTGTGAGGTGGTAACTCTGAGTTTTTAAATTTGCATTTCTCTAATCAAAAGTGATTAAGAGCATTTTTCAAATGACTATAGATAGCTTCTTCTGTAATCTGCCTATTCAGATCCTTTGACCATTTATTAATTGGGGAATGACTTGGATTTTTATAAACTTGACTCAGTTCTCTATATATTTGAGAAATGAGGCCTTTATCAGAGATAGTTGTTATAAGTTCCCTCCCTCCACCCTGCCCTGCTTTGTTTTCCTTGTAATTTTGGCTGCATTGGTTTTGTTTGTGCAAAATCTTTTAAATTTAAGGTAATCTAAATTTTCCATTTTACATCCTGTGGTGTTCTCTATCTCTGGTCATAAATTTGATTTGGTCATAAATTCTTCCCTTATCCATAGATCTGATAGATAAAATATTCCATGCTTTTGGGGTACGATTCAAAGTTCATACTGAGTCAGGGCTGTCTGAGGAGTGTGAAGGAAGGTGTCTGGGGGCAGGATGTGAAGGAATGTTTCCAACTGCTTTTGTGGAAAATGGGGAAAAGGATGCTGACCTGGAAAGACCGTAAGTTTCTTTGAGGGCAGGACCAGAGTCTTTCACATCTTTGTACATCCACAGAAGAGGGACAAATGGAATGTTTTGAAATCATAGAAAATGAGGGTTATTATAAGCCAGTTTCCTATAGTATTTTAAGGTCTACAAAATGCATCTCCCCCACCCCAAACCCTGTAAGTTAGCTAGGACAAGTATTATTATCTCTATTTTACAGATTATAATAGCTAGCATTATATAGTACTTTAAGGTTAGGAAACACTTTATAGATATGATCTCATTTTATCCTCACAACAGATTATCCTCATTTTACAGATGAGGAAATTGAGGCAGACAAAGGGATCTGCTTCAATTGGAAGTGACTTACCCAGGGTCATAGTCATAGCCAATAAATATTTATTAAGTACATACTATGTGTCAGGTACTGTGCTAAACACATACAAATACAGATAAAAGTAGATAAGTTTCTGCCTTCAAGGAGTTTATAATCTAATGGGAGAAAACACTACACACAAAAGGAAGCTGAAAAGTTGAAGTGACAGAGGAAAGGGGTGTGGGAATATATTCTGAATGATGGAGCAGGATGCAGAAATCCAAAGAAACACAAAAGTGGAGTAGCTGGTGGAAATGAGAAGACTGAGATGGGCCCCCCTCCTTAAATCCCCTGGAGCAGATTCAATCTTGTGCGATAATGAGATTTTTCCAGATCACACAGCTATTTTCTAAAGCTGGATTTATAACTCAGGTCTTCTTGACTCCAGGTCCACTGTGCCAGCTAGCTGCCCTCATAAAGGACCAATTCTCACAAATAGGTCTGTGAATATAGGTGTAGGAGTATAGTCTGAGGGATAATGAAATTTTATTTTAACAATTATATAGTTGATGAAAAGTGCTATCCACCTTCAGAGAAAGAACTGATGAACTCTGAATGCAGATTGAAGCATACTTTGCTTTCTTTATTTTTCTTGCTTCTTTGTGCTTTCTTTTGCAACATGGCTAATATGGCAGCGTTTTGCATGACTTCACATATATGAAATTACATTGCTTGCCTTCTCAAGGAGGGACAAGTAGGGAGGGAGAGAAGTTGGAAATCAAAATATAAAAAAAAAATGAATCTTAAAATATTATTACATGTAATTGAGAAATAGTTAATGATATAAATTTAAAAATATATTTAAAGTAATATCATTTATTTTCTTCTAATTATCTTTATTCTTCCAAAGAGACTGATGTGGGTGCTCCCCGTTAATAGTGGTTTCTGGTTCCTCGGGTATCAGGTTGGTTGACTTGTGAGCTGTGGGAGTCCCAGCTCCTTATCCCCTGTATCTGCCCCCTGAGCTCCGTCGAGGAGTTGGCGGGCCTAAGAGCCCGGAGCCAGTGCCTGGGCAACCCCCAACTACTCTACAGCATGAATAGGGTTAGAACCAGGACCCCAAACTAAAGCTCCCACCAAACTCCAACACGCCCCCCAAGCTAAAGACTGATTGGTTCATTCTGTCCTCCCCTTTAGCGCCAGGCTCTCCTTTTGATTGGTCACACTGCTCCAGTTTATGGGCTGTAACCCTGCCCTACCCTGATTGGCCAGGTCCGTACCTGTGCTCACAACGGATTGAACCCCAGTAGGGGAAGCTCAAAGGCTCCATGAGCCCCACTCTCTGATTCGTTGCTCTGGCTAGGCCGATGGCCTGCGTGCTGATGGGCTGCGCCACTACCTGTAGCGGCCAACGATTGGGTGCGAAGAGTCTTCCAAGCGGGATAGGTCAAGACCATCTCCCCTCTTTTTCCTGATTGGCTAATCGGCAAAGCCCGGTCTCCGGGTAAGATGGCAGCGGACGGACAGTGCTCGCTCCCCGCTTCATGGCGGCCGGTGACCCTCACCCACGTCGAATATCCCGCAGGTAAAACTCAGCCCCAGGCCCTCAAAGGAGAGCTCCTCTGTCTCTCGCGCCTCCCCACCCGGCCTCTCCCTCCCCGGGTGAGCCAGGGGAGGGGGGCAGCCGGGGGCTGGGGTGGCAGCTGTCAAATAGTGAGCCATTGAAGACTCCCTTCGAGGAGCATAACGCGCAGGCGCAGTGAGTTGACGATGAGCTGTGCTAAATTGTGAGCCGCTTGCTCGCTCACTCTGCGCCTGCGCGGCTAGCTACCTGGGCTCAGTGGCACGGACCCGTGAAGTGGGCTTGTGGGGTGCGGAGCCGTTAGGTGCATGGAGTGGTTTGGGTCTCAAGACTCCCCCTTACCCCTTCATTTCCCCCTGAGGACTATAGAAGCAAGCGTGCAGAGGGGGTGTTGCTCCCTCGGCTTGGGAGGGGACGGTGCGTGAGCACTTGGAGTTTCCTTGTCTTGGACTGACCGCCCACCCTTGCCCCTTGTAGACGCCGCCTGGCAGCTTTGTTGCTTTCAGGAGCTTGGCACGCCCCCACTGGAGCTGCCTCTGATTACTGCCAGAAGACCCTTTCTTCTGGCACCCAGGGGCCAACTCCATCCGCCCCCTCCCCTGCCTTTGACCCCTACCCTATTGCTTCAGGGTGTGGGTCCTGGGACCTTTGGGTCCTGTAGTGTATCTCCAAAGGCTGGACTGAACCCAGGCTGTCTGGGGCAAGGACGAGATATGAAGGAATGAGTTTCTGCCTGTTTTTTTGTGAACTGTTAAAAAGGGGGGAAAGGATGCTGACCTGGAAAGCTTGGCCCTGCCCATTGTCTGCATACCCTTCCAAGTCTGACACAGAATTCAGAACTCACATTTTTACTTTTCTTTTAAGTTTACAAAGTGCTTTTCTCCCTACTATCCTGTGAGGTTAGGTAATAATACAAAGATAATACAGGTTGTACCAAAAGTATTGGTGCAGTTTGAAGCTTTAATAGCTGTTGTTCCCATTTTACAGATGAGGAAACTGAGACTCAGATGAAGTGAGTTGCCGTACATCTCACATTTATTTGGGAGCAGTACCTGGTACAGTATTGCTTTTGAAACATCCAATGGCTATGTCCATCCTGAGGATGAAATGATATCAGTATGGGAAAGAGCCTTCTTAGGCTTAAGTTGGGGTATACAGAGGTTCCAGGGCCACATAGCCAAGCACTATCCTCATGCAGAAAGGGGACAGCTAATTGAGTTCCCACCTCTGTGATGCCCATGTAGCACACAGCCTTCCTACTAATTCGAGGCCTAGTCCAGAGGGAAATGTATGTCAGGCTAGTTTCATTCTCTATCTCCTTGAGGAGAGTCATGACAGAAATTTCTGTCCCTGGCTCACTTAGCACCTCAGGGGTGAAGTTATGCAAATTTTCCTAAGCTTTTTACATAGCCATCAAGATAATTTTTTGGGCACCACTGACCACCAGCACCCCTAAACTCCCAAACTGACAAAACACCGACAGTGATTTCTTGCTGAAGGCAGTGAGAATATCCCTACCCTTCCTGTCTCCTGCTTGCTTTAAGAAGAATGCATAATATTGATAGGCAGATTTTGCTTCTTTGAATATCTGGGCTCTGGAAAAGGAGGGGAATCAGCAAAGGGACATGCCCAGTTATATGCCATCATTGTATGCTCACTGTTCTGCCCCAGTTATATCTCCCCATTGCTGCTGCCCCCCCCAAAAAACAAACAAACAAACAGCTAGCATAGACCCTTTGTAGGGAGTGGTAGTGAGCAGGAGAGTCATTTGTGGCTCTCAGCGAGATGACTGAAGGCCTTAGAAGCATTTGCATGTACGGCTCTGCTAGGTACCCCCAAGAATGCAGACTTGAGGGGTGAAGCCTGCTGGTATTCACCCAACCCTGGTCTTAGAATCAGATAGCTTGGGTTTAGAGGCCCATCTCTGGTAGTCGATGGTTGACCCAACCTTCCTGAACCTCAGGAAGTTTCTGCATCTGTAAAATGGGCTGCTATTGTACTTCTCCAAATTCAGTCAACATTTCGGTGCCACTGTGCCAGACACTGTGGTTGGTGCTAAGCATAAAAGATTTGAATGAAACAGTCCCTGCCTTCAAGAAGCTTTCATTCTGTAGGATGTTACATGTGCATAAGTGAGTTCAATGTAAGGTGGGGAATGATGGGAACCGAGAGATCTGAAGAAATGCTCTCAGAAGCTTTAAGATAGGAGATAAGTTTTGAAAACTACAAATAGGACTTTTTATTGCCATAGGATTTTACAATGTTAAAACGGTGCAGGACCTTAGAGACTATGTGATTTAGCATTTTGTTTTACAAATGAGGAAACTGAGGCCCAGAGAAGGAATATGACCTGCCAAAGTTCCACATTTAATTATAGCATCAGACCAGAACTTGTCTCTTCACTTTTAGTCTGGTGTTCTTAACATCTCCTAGTCTAGCTCTTTGCTGTGATTCTGCTGAAGGAGGTTTGGAATGAAGCCTGCCTGGCATCTGCTTCCCTGTCAGCCTGGGTTCTTTGAGTCATTCATTGGACCTGGAGAGTGTTGTTCTCCCCTCCCTCCCCTAGTCTTCTCTACTTGGGGCTGGGGCTTGGCTTGGTATCCTGTGGATTCCTGTGCAGACTGACTTATGCCCAGTTAGGTTTCTTTGGGACCATTTCCCAGGTTAGAATTTTTTCAGTATGAATCTGGCCTTTGGCCTGGGCTGTTTTCTAGGAAATGTACCAGGTATTGGCTTTCGGGAAAGGTTTGAGAGGGGTAAAGTGTGTTCTGGCACAGATAGTCTGGATGAGGTAAAACTGGAGGTGAATTACAACTCCCCATCAACATAATCTCTCTCTCTTTTCCCTTCCCCTCTGGTTTTGGTTGAGTCTAGGGTAAGAATCTAGAGCCTGGGTTGGTCCTGGGGCTTATTTTTGAAAGAAGGAGAGAATGCTCCAGAACCACAGGAGCCTGCAGCCTGGGAGGGCTGTATTGGGCAGCGAAAGGCAGCCACGCTGGAGGGGGTTGGGTATGTGCCTCTGGCTGAGTTTCCATACCAAGAACATGGGCTGTGTTGAGTCAGTTTGCCCATATCCCCGTCTCTGGTCACTGCAGGAAAGACCTCGAGCCTGCTCTCCTTCTTTCTAGGCTTTCCACCGTGCTCTCTCTGGGGAAGCGCCGAGGAGATGCAGCTTTCTCTGGAGCCTGCTTCCTCCCATTGCTAAGGCTGGCTAGCTGGAGCTTCTGCTTTGTGATTCCTGCTCCCTTCTCATGGTGTGGAGCTGGTTGTCACCAGCAGAGTTCCTGCTGTCCTGGGTTAGACTTGGAAGTTTCGTCTGGTCTTTCTGAGTCATTGGACTGGCTTTCTGTTAAGTAGCTGGGTTTCTCGTTCAGAGAGATGAGTTTTGACCAGCTCTTCTGTTTCCTTGCCTCTCACCTTCCCCAGGTGATCTTTCAGGCCACCTCCTCGCCTACCTGAGCCTCAGCCCCATCTTCGTTATTGTTGGCTTTGTGACACTCATCATATTCAAGCGAGAGCTTCACACTGTGAGTCTGCCCAGCCTCCTGCCTCCTGCCTCCTGCCACGCCCACCCTGCAGTCCCTTCCGCTGTGACCGTGCCCTGAAACGTTCCCTCTGCTCAGCAGAGGGCGGGAGACGAGGGAGCCTTGCCTGTACAAGGCTGGCAAGAGGCAGTGGGGAAGCATCTACTGCTGGGATGTGGTCTCCCTTCCATGTTGTGGGCAGTTGTTCATGGTGCCTTAAGGCAAGCCAGAGTGGTCCCCAAAGATAGGACTTCTGCTGCGGGTGATCATAGGATTTATAGCTGGAAGGAACCTCAGAGATCATCTAGTGCAACTGTCTCAGTTTACAGAGGAGAAGTAGAAGTCAAGAAACATGATGTTACTTGCCCAAGGACACAGGTAGTAGGTAGTAAAGACACGATTTGAATCCAAGTCCTCTGGGTCTAAATCCGGTGCTTTTGTTGATTGCACCAGGATAGCACCTCCACCCCTACCCCCAATGCCCCTATATATATGCGTCCATGCGGCAGTGTTTTTGAGTTTCCTGCTGGCCTCAGCTTAGTTCTGTCATCTAGGAGTAGTGGCTGGGGTCAGTGTCTGGGTGGGGAGGGAGGGACTTGCTTATGGCTTGCAAAGGCAGAGTTGACCCCACTCCTTCTTTTACAGATTTCTTTCCTGGGGGGTCTGGCACTCAACGAGGGGGTCAACTGGCTAATAAAGAACATTATCCGGGAGCCCCGGCCCTGTGGAGGTATGGAGGGACCTTTGGAGGGGTGCATTGGGAGAGCCGAAGCTGGATGAAGACATCTCCTGGCAGGGGGAGAACAGCTCTGTACCCAGACACTGCCTGATGGACATTGTCTGCTTGTTCTTAGATACCCACTCCATGGTGAATACCAAATATGGGATGCCTTCCAGCCATTCCCAATTTATGTGGTTCTTCTCAGTCTACTCCTTCCTTTTTCTTTATTTAAGGTAAAGTATCTTCCTGGGGAGGGTGGGGGAGGGCTACTGGGGTTATAGGCATCTCAGACTTAGTAGGCATTTTTTTCCTGTGCCCTCATCTGCTCCAGGCCTCCCCCTGGCCCTGGCTTTGTCTAAGGACTGGCACCTCCTGTACCCACCTCCTAGAATGGTCAATGAGATTCCCTTCCACCTGGGTTACTTGGTTGGGATATCCACAGTTAAGAAGCCAGATAGAGAAGTAGATCCATGCAAAGTGACTTAGGTAGAGCAGTAAGAGATGAAGGAGAACCAGGCAAATGTGGTGTTCTTGAAGCCACATTTTCAGAAGGGGGTGATGGTCATCGGGGTCCAAAGCTGCAGAGAGGTCACAGATATGAGGACTGAGCAATGGAGACTGTTCACTTCAGCCCTGAGGAGTGTAAGGACAGGGACCTGCTTTATCTGTCCCCTGACCAGCCTTCCTTTTCTTTCCTCTTTCTTTAGAATGCATCAAACAAACAACGCCAGATTCCTGGACTTGTTATGGAGACACGTGCTCTCTCTGGGCCTCGTGACAGTAGCTTTTCTTGTCTCATATAGTAGGTATGCAGCAGTATTTGCCCTTTCTTCTTGCCCATCCATCTTCCTGCTCCCCTCAGTTCATAGCTGTCTCAGTGACCAGCAGACCATTCCTCCTCGCAGGGCCCCTCCAGTGACCCCAAGGCCCTTTACTTAACCCCAAGCTTGGCTCCTCCTCCTTTTTGGCTCCTTTTTGGCCTGGAAGCATACCCTAGGCCTCCCTCCCATGAATATTGAGAAGAACTCAGCCATAGAGGCCACCAAATTAATGAGAGTGAAGGACAGAGTAATCCACTGAGCGGGAGGGTATGGTGGGGCTGTTTCTTAGGATTCTATTTAACATTGAAGAGGGAGGCCTAACTACTGCTTGTAATGGTTCATCATTCCTGGTCCCTGCTCAGCTCACCACATTTTAGTTGGATCAAAGAAACTCCCCTGTGTGCTGGACTTTGCCCTGCTGCTCTTGGCATCCCCCTTGGGTTTGGAGATCAGGGATCGTGGGCTTGAGGTCAGGACCTGACCGAGCCATCAAGAAAGGAGCTGTCCCACTGAACCATTGGGAAGGCTGGGTCTCATCGCAGGTGCTAGGTACTTGACTATCTTTGCCTCCAACCTCAGCTTTGACCTGGCACCCTGGGCTGCCAGGAACTGTCTGTCTGATTTATGCATATCTCTCTCATCGGTTCCTCACCATCACTTTCTGCTGAAGAGTGTATTTGTTGTACCACACCTGGAGCCAGGTTCTCTATGGAGGGGTTGCAGGAAGCATCCTGGCTGTCGCGTGGTTTGCCTTCACACAGGAGATCCTCACTCCACTGTTCCCCAGGATAGCAGCCTGGTAATTCCCCCCCAGAGCCCTTTTCCCCACACTTGCCCTCATCCAGGGAGTTCAGGGATCTTTTCCTTCCCACCCCATATTTTCATTCTTTGCTGGATCCACTGGGGGCTCGTCTTTCAGGGATAGTTTGCACACTGAGGGGCCTGACCTATGGCAGGGTTAGGAAGAGAACCCACACATCCTGATTCCTAACCCAGGCCTCCATTGTCAAGGTTCTCTTTCTACTCTGTGGACTGTGAGTAGGCCTTTATTTGCAAAATCCCAAGTGGATTCCCACTGGCTACTGAGTAGACATTCAGAAAGGTGTTTTAGGATTCTGAGTGAGCCTCAGGAGCCATATATGGAAGACCTATGTGTATTGGTTATCCCTTCCACCCCCATCTTCAGGCTCAGGAGTTTGCTGCTTAGACTCTGGGTGTTCCCCTGGGTTAGGACCTTTGAGCTCAAGGGCATCATCTTCTACCTGTGTAGTCACAGTTCCTAATCCTCAGGTCTCAGAGTTGCATGTACCAGGCTCTGTGCCCAGGACTATACGGGAACATATTCAGTGGAACTTTGACAGTCAGATGTGGTGGACCAGCGCTATCTCTTTTGATCCCTCCTATGCCCTTTGCAGCAAGAACTGGCTGCTGTTTGACGCAGTCTCTCCTCATTAAGAGTTGGATCTCTCCCGCCCCCCCCTTCCCCGCCCCACTCCAAGGCAGTTGGGCTCTTTCCCCAGGACTTGGTAGCTCTATCTATATTTTTTCCCCTTTTGAAAGTTGGAAGCAAAGGGGAAGGGGGTGGGGGGAGTAGCATAGCCAGAGCCCTTTAACACCTTGGAGTTTGGGGGAGTTTCCAGGATGGCTTTGTAGAAGATGAGCACCCTGAGTGTGCCATTCTTTTTCCCTAGGCCCATATCTGAGTTCTTCTTAATTCGAGACACAAGCCTCATCCCCAATGTCCTGTGGTTTGAGTATACAGTCACAAGAGCAGAGGCCAGGTGAGTAAGATGGGAAGCCCACCTAGACTCCCATGACTAGCCTTGAATCAAGAGCCTATCCCTTTGGCCAAGGCTTCTCCTGGAACAGCTCTTACCTACCTAGGGTCTGGGACTTAGGGGGCAGTTGACCTTATTTCTTCTTTTGAGAATCAAGTTGGAAGATCCTGGATTCTTATGTTTTATTTTTTACCAGACCTTTGAATTTTTTTGTTATAGAGAACACTCAGTGAGGAAACTACCTCTTACCAATGCAGGTTGGCTCTTGCTTTATGTTTGTGGTCTTAGAGAAGCGTCTGGGCCAGTGAAAAATTTAGTGCCTTGCCCAGAGGTCACATAGCCTGTATGTGTCAGAAACAGGATTTGAACCCAAGCCTTCCTGTCTCCTAGGTCAGCTCTTCATTTATATTTCCTTCTAATTCTAGACTATTTTAAATCTAATTTTTAGAACTCAAAAGAACAGAAGCCTGCATTGAACTCAAGGCCTAGAAATACACAGGTCATAGAATAGTAGATCTGAAAGGGCCCCGGTTTCTGAGTTCTCTGACAGAGAGGCCAGGAGGCTTCTGCTTTTAAACGGAGGGTGTCAAGAACAGGGAGCACACTGAAGAATGCAGGGGAGCACATGCCACTGGAGGCAGGGGTGAGGGAGGATGGGGGGTAGGTGGTCGGAGGAAGTTAATGTGGAGCAAGGGATTAGGAGGAATGGAAAGGGAGAGGACAACACTCTTTCCTATTTCTCTAGTACTTTCAAATTAACAGAGGATTTTTTTTTTTTTTTTTTTACTTTACTGCAGCCCTATGAAGTAGATAGGGCAGCCAGCCTTATGGTTTTCCAGTCCTGGGGGTTAATAGCTCCCAAGCAAGGGAGTTACAAGAAAGGCTGAAAAGAAAGCCATGGTAGTGTGTGGGCTGGTGGGTGGCTTTGGGGATATGCATCATGAATACATCCTGGCTGAATTATAATAACAAGCGGAATAGGTAAAGGCCCACATCTGTTAGGAAAGGGGATTTGAGGGCTTTGGGGCAAGGCAATCCCATTGATGGCATAAAGGCCACAGCTGGCCAGAGGCAGAAAGAGTTCCTGCCTGACTGGGGATTATGATATAGTGAAAATAGTATTAAACTGGGATTGAAGATGCTTGGGCCCAAGTCTACCTCTTTTTGGCTGTGTGACCTTGTGCAAATAGCTTCCCCCCTCTCTGAGTTTGAATTTCCTCCTCTGTAAAGGAGGCATAGTAGTTCTTGGCTGACCTGCCTGCCTGCCTGCCTCATGGGGCTGTCGTGAAGAGCAAATGAGACAGTGGGCACGAACTGTTTCTTTCTAAACTGAGAAGTGCTGTAAACACATAGGGGAGTTTTAATAAAAATAAATTGAGAGCAGCGAAAGACTATTTTGGAGGAAAGGGAAGTGAGTTGCTTGCGCTTTGTAGGGGAAGATCTCATTTTTTGTTTTTGTTTTTTTCTTTAACCATTCTCTGGGCCACCTGTTCAATGTCACCTTGCAGAAACAGACAGCGAAAGCTGGGTACAAAGCTACAGTGAGAGTGCTCGGGTGTGGCTGGGCCAGCCCCACAGATCTGACTGGTAGGATGCCGCCATGGAGACCTCGACAGACCCAAGTCACCACGTGGAGCCTTTTTCTTTCTTTCTTTCTTCTTTTTTTTTTTAAATCAACAAGACGGACCAAAGGCCAGACTGGGGCCTTCAGCGGGAGTCCAGAGGCCTGGGCGTTGGTTTGGGCAGCACGCCAGGCATCCCCACTGCCCATGGGACCAGGATGCAAATGGACCTTGCCCATACCACCACTGCACACTGAGAGGCAGAATGTACCATAACATCCAAGGCCAGAGGAAGGCACTAAGGGTGGGATAATAGGGGAGAAAGAAGAAAACTTTCATCTGAGAGCTTGAGACAGGGTGGGTGGGGAAAAATCTAACAGCCAAGTATTTGTGTGGAATTTAGGTGGTATGAAATATACATGCTATTTATTTTTTTTCTAAGGTTAATTTGATTTTTTTGAGTTGGGATCTGGGGCTGGGGTAAGGCCTTTTTGAAGAGAAACCCATTGAGTGGGGTTGGTTTCTCAGTGGTGCAGGGAGAGTCTAATTCCAGACCGTTTGGGCAATGTCAGTTCCATCTATCTGCACTTTGTAAGGAAGAAAAAAACTTGATGGACATTTTGCTTTGAACACCAGGAAGCAGCCTACCTCTCCTCTTATTGTGGTTGTGAAACATGGGGGCTTAGGGCAGAGCATTTGGGGAAATCAGCCCTTTCTTTGATTCCTATCTCCTCTCTGCCAATAACAGCCTAGTATGGTGGAAGCTGTTTCTGAGTATTGTTCCCTGTAACACAGCTATTTCCATATCTGGGAGAGTGATAGCTCAGAGAAACAGTGCTTCTTCCATTGGTCTGGTGATGACATTCTTTATAACAGTAATCTCATTCAAGGGCCTTCTCTGATCCTTGTCCATGCAATGGGTTGTACCTTCTATAATGAAAGAACTTTTTTTTTAAATGCTATTTACATTGTAGATGGGGAAACCTGAACTGTTTTACAGATTTCTTTTTGTCTTGCCATCAGGTAGCAATTACTTTTCAATTCCTTTCATCCTTCCCCACTTCCAGTATCCCAACCACTTCAGAACGTCCCCCTACCACCCCCCCACCCACCCACTCAAAAGGGAAAGAACCAGGAGTTCAGCCAGGTGTGTGCCTGACACCCCACCCTGCTGGGCTCAGAACACTTGTCTTTCCTTGAGACTTGGCTCCAGAGGAGCTAGGTCTCAGCTCTTTCACAGGCAGGTACTACAGACTGGAAGGAAATGTGCTAGCTGGCAATGTGTTTAGTCAGACCAGGTCTCATGCTGGACAGAAGAACTTGGATGTCTTGAGGAAGTCGTCATAAGGGTTATTTTACTTGTACTTGGGTCTGTTGTTTTAAAGTTGCTTTCAAAAGGAATTATTGAGGGGAAGATGAGTCTAAGCCCAGGAAATATGTAGAATTGAACTGGATGGTTTGGGACACTTTCAAATCATTGAAGAAAAAAAAAATTGGTTTTCTGAGCTGCTGCTGCTGAAGCACGCCTTGGTGGTGCTTTTCTTTTCTTTCCCTTTGCAAAGACAGTATCCACAAGCCATTCCAGATGTCAGGAAAATGGGCTTATTTCCAGGGAAGTTAGGTCAGCCCCCCCCATTTCCTTCCCCTTCTCATTTTACTTTTTGGCCAGAGATAAGCCAGATGTCAGGTGGTTTGGATTAAGACAATAAATAAAATTGTTTACTATTGTTTTAAAATAAAATATGAAAAACAACCTGAGTGTGTGATCTCCAAGGTAGCTGGAGTAGTGGGGCTGTCTGTGGGCTGTACACCTTACAATGGTCCCCATTGAGGGTGAAGAGATTCAGGAACAAGCCACCTAGCGAATCAGCTCCGGGAACTTCCTTCTTCCTGAGAGCGAGGCTCCCTTGGCAGCAGGAGCTTTTTGGTACTTAGGTAACTTCAGGTATGTCCTTTGCCCTCTCTGGGCCCTAGTGTTCCGATCTATAGAACAAAGGGGGGGGAAGGCTTAGAGAACATTGAATTAAGTGAAGGGGTGAAATGGATGGTGCTCAATATCAGCTAGCATTATTGTTTTACATTTACCTAGTTTTGAAACTGACTCTCCTGGCAAGGAAGTGCAACAATGACTTTTGGCACTTCTTGGGAAATAATAATCCCCAAAGTTGAGCACCTCAGTTTACACAAACAACCCTTTAGATCATAGTCCTATTTTGAGGCAGGTAGTGCAAGTGGTATTCTCATTGTGTAGGTCAGAAAACAGTCTCAGAGAGGGAGAATGGCATACTTAATTAGGAAGCACACGCAAAGCCTTGGCTCTCAGGCATCACGTGCAATTCTCTGTCCACTGTTCCAGAGTAGCCTGCCTATCCACTATAAGGATCTCCCTTTAGATATGGGTGGAGTTTCTGACAACCCAGGCTTCTGAAATAGACCTGGGGTAGAAGTTTTTGTTTTAACACAATGAAGGCAATGTGGTGTGTCGGTGTGTGACATGTAAATGGGTAGAAGGTAGGAACTGGTCCTCTGATTTTATTGGTGCAGGGAACTCCTAGGTCAGAAAACATTGGTCAGCAGCTTAATGCAATAATCCTGGTGTGAGGTGATGAGGGCTTAGGTAATGAAAGCATTGTCAGAAGAGAGAAGGGGACTTATTCAAGAGGTTGTGAAGGTGAAATCCACAGGCCTTGGCCACAGATTGGATATGGGAGAGGGGTGTGTGGGGTCAGTGAGAAATGGTGAGGATCCAGGATGACTCAGGTTGCAGGGTTGGAAGCCTGAGAGAATAGGAGGATAGTTTTGCTTTCTATAGTAATAGAGAAAGTAGTGAGGGGAGGAGATAATAAATTTAAGGTGTCTATTAGACATCCAGTTCAAGATGTCTGAAAGGCAGCTGGAGATGTGAGATTGTGGATGGGAGATTCAAGGTCAGCAGAGAGATTAGAGCAGGATAGGTAGATTTGAGAATTATTAGTGTAGAGATGGTCATTAAATCCATGGGAACTGATGAAATCCCCAAGTGAAGTAATATGGAAGGAGAAGAGAAGAGGGCCCAGGGCAGAACCCTGAGAGACACCTGTATGAGGATCCAGCAAAAGGGACAGAGAAGGAGTGCTCCTATGTAGGAGAACCAGGAGTGGTGTTCTGAAAACCTAGAGCAGAGGTTCCCAAACTTATTTTGCCCGCTTTTCAAAAAAAAAAAAATTACTCAGTGCCCCCCTTGGAAATCTACTTTCTTTAACCCTTTAATGGCTTAAAAAAATAGCATCATTTCAAAAAATATATATTTTAAAAAATGACGCATCTTAAATTTAATAATTTATTGTAAATTTGTGGGTTTTTCTGCATTGAAATTTTGATGATACAATATTGTATCATGTAACCATACAATATTGTATTATAAACAAGTGATTACATGCACATATTCCTGCTGATGAATGCTGGACTTCCTGACAGTGGGCAACATTCTGGCCTGCCAACACCTGCATGTTAAGATCTGTTGGCAGACTTGATAGGATAGTGTTGATAAGGGAGATTACCTAACAGCAGGGAGGGCCCACTTGTGTAACATAAACATATAGTGGGCCCGGTTAGAAGGGTTGTGTAATTTTTTTTTCAGTCGTATCTGATTCTCTGTGACCCCATTTGGGGTTTTCTTGGCAGAGACACTGCAGTGGTTTGCCATTTCCTTCTCCAGCTCATTTTACAGATGAGGAAACTGAGGCAAAAAGGGTTAAGTGACTTGCCCAGAGTCACATAGCTAGTAAGTGTCTGAGGCTGGATTTGAACTCAGGTCTTCCTGACTCCAGACCCAGCACTGTACTGTATCACCTAGCTATGCTGGTTGTGTGATTTTCTCCATCTATGTTCAGCAGCACTAAATCCAATGTGCTTTCCAACATGTTGAGGGCATGATGTTCCATGGAATTGAAACCAAGCACAGCTGCTGATGGAGAATGGAGAATGAGAAGTTCTGAAAGTGGAGCCTTTATAAAGAAAGGCTTTGGGAGTAGCTACCCTCCAGCCCTCCAATCAGATGGGAGAGGCCATGGAGGCAGTTGACAAGGTGCTGAGTCAATCAGCATGGTGATGAGATTTCCAAATTTTGAAGTCATCTTGACCCATCCCCTTTAAGTTCATCACAAGTCCTATAAATTTTGTCCTTGTAGAACTGTGTGTCCCTTCTTTTCCATTTCTACTGTAACCCTAATCCAGGTCTTTATCACCTCCTTCCTAGATAATTGTACCAGCCTCGTTAGTTTTCCTGCCTCCTGGGGGCTCTGCTCCATCCTGCAAAAGCTGCCAGACTGTCAGTCAGCTAGTCAACTATCATTTAGTTGGCGCCACAGTGCCAGGCACTGTGCTAAGCACTGATGATTTGTTTTTCAGTCGTGTCTGACTCTTCCTGACCCCATTTGGAGTTTTCTTGGTAAAGGCACTGGAGTGGTTTGACATTCCCTTCTCCAGCTCATTTTACAGATGAGGAAACTGAGGCAAACAAGGTTAAGTGACTTGCCCTGGGTCACATAGCTGGTAAGTAAGTGTCTGATGCCAGATTTGAACTTGGAAGATGTCTTCCTGACTCCAGGCCAGGTGCTCCATCCAATGTACCCCTGACAAAGGTGGCAAGCAAACAAAAAACAAAAAAATAAAACAAAACCCTAGTTTCTGCTCCCAAGGAACTCATATTTTATCATTCTCTCACTCCCTGTTTTAAAACTTTCAAAGGACCCCCCCCCACATAAAATCTAAACTCTGTTGGGTTTTAAGACTCTGTGTAATTTGGCCACATTTTAATATAGGAAAACTACCACCCACCTCTCCTCAGCATATATACTCCAATGCAGACACACTGACCCCTCCCCCAACACAAATTACTCTCATTCCTATCTCTCTGTCTTCTACTTAATCTGTAGATAACCAAATTCATTTCTTCTTTCAAGGCTCAACTCAAATGTCCACCTCTTGAGGTCTTTCTTTGATTATTCCAGCCCATACCAATTCCTTCCCAATTCATTCATTGAGCTCCACTTATAGGCATCTGGGCCATCTCCAGTCCTCCTGATCGATATCTCACCACCAGATCCAGATGGCTCGGGAGGAGAAGGTGAGGCTGGTGACTTTGCACAGCCCTTCCTCCCTTAAATCAGATTCTCTTGCAAGTTATAGTATCACCTTCCTGATGTCATGGTACTCTTCAAGAAAACGAAGGACAAACCGCAAGCACAACTTATAGGCAAGTCACCTGTGTTGGTGCTGTGGGAGGATTTGCATGTGAACAAGATGTGGTTCTTACCTTAAAAGACCTTCTAATCTAAGACCAGTTCAATACAAGGTAGAATGTGGTAAATGCCTTAAGTCAGAAGAAACATGGACTGTGCAGCTCAGAGGCTGGGTCACCGAATGGCCACCACTCCCAAGTTCTAGGGTAACTTCTGCGGGTCTGTACTCCCTAAAACTATGGTTCAGAGGTCCTCACCAGTAAGCTTTCTCTTAACAGTCAGCCAGTAGACACAATTAATTCAAAGAAATGACATTTACTGAGATTTAGTGAGAACACTAGTCACAAAACTTGGCCATAAACCTGGGTCCCACTCTCCCACAGATAGTGTTTGTGAGAAGATGCAAACACAAGCTTAGTGAGAATACAGTGCTAATGAGGCCCAATGTAGACAGCATATGTGGTCAAGGCAACTTACATGTGTGGTACTACAAGTTCTTGATATATTTTCTCTCCTCATGGAGCTTATGTTCAAGGAATGGTGAATAGTGCAGGTTTGCTAAAATGAAGGATGCATGAAGGGAAAGATTGGGAACTAGAAAAAGCTAGCAAGATAGGTTGGGAGCAGCTCTTAGAGAGCCTTAATTAAATTCCAGGCTAAGAATTTTCGATGTTATTCTTTAGAAAATATGATCAGGATTCTATTTTCTGAACTCACAGCATTTACTATCAGCCTTGCACAGTTTACTACTTGTTATGTTAATCTTATTTCCCCTAACCAGACTAAATTTGTAGAAGGCTGGAATTTTAAAATATCAATGCGCATTTAATATAACAACAAAATCAAATTAAACATACATTTATAACTTATACAGTAGA